TATTCTTATTTCTTTTCAAGTTTATCAAGGCTGTTTCAAATCTTTTTGGAATGTTTGAAACAAATTTCTTATGTAACCTGGAAAAGAATAAGTCGTCAGATGTTACAAATGAAGATATTTCCATAACTAAAGGTTGTATACATAATGTTATTTTCATTAATAATCGATAAAAACCGGAAACCCTACTTAGCCTACTATATCACATAATAAGACATGAGTTACCATGGGAACCTCTTGTGACCGTCAAAATTGAATAACTATGTATACTACAAATCTCACCAGCAAGTAATCCTCCTTGAGCACTTCATATATGGCTTGACAAATTGCAGGTATTATGGTAGACAAACTTTGTTTTGATATCCTTGTTGTATACTGAAGCGACGTGTAGAAGCACCCAGTTGAAAGAAATATGAGCGTAGCCTCTAGACGAGCCTCTGGAGATATGCTCTGCCTCATAATGGTATCTTGTTTTTTTATGTATGGTTCCAATTTAGCGAGAAGTCTATAGAAGGTGTTGGGGTCCATTCTCATGTAGTTAGTGAAGTCTTTCTCATGTTCACCTTGCAGTTCATGTAAAATCGTGGCATGACTTCCCTTAACTTTTCGTTGAGATAACCATTCCTTGCACCATTCCCTTTTCTGTTTTTTCTTCTTTTTGCACACTGTAGCAATTATTATACACAGCGCTATAGTATTCGATTTAACTGTCCTGCGACACACCATGGTGATCGTACCGCAGCAGCTACTGCCGACCACCTACTAGCTACCAGCAGCAGAGTGTGACTACTGCCAACCAGCACCTCCGTGTGTACGACGACACAGGCTTTGCCCGGTAAACGGGCACTGTTCGATCGTGTGGACGGGGCTTTAAAGACAGTCGCGAACGAGTAGTCATGAACCGTGTACATTCAGAATGGAAGAGACGCTCATTCTGTTTGTAGTCTACATTACATTTATTAGAATTGGTTTAGTATTCTAGTGTTTTAATGTTAACCCTTATATGATTTATAATAAAAGCAACATTCACCAGCTATAAACCCATAAAACGTGGCCCACAAACATTCAACTTATTTCTAAGTGTTCAGGTATTTTTACCATAATTGTAAATACATTAGATAGATAAACAGATAGATGTTTATTCAGTAAAACAGGACATAAAACTCTGACAATATCACAAACGTGATTCAACTTCAACGGCTTCCCGCAACATGTCATTTTGGATGATGACAGGCATCTCTTCAGACAGTATAATAGTAATAGTTACTAAAGCAAGCTGGCTAGCCATTTTTATTTTATACTGAAAGAACTGAAGATTCAGGCTAGATCTGTCAGTCAAGCACTAGAACGTAAAAAAAAATCGAGTCAAAGTTTGACACATTTTTAATGTGTTAATGAAAATTATAGCCTCACAATATTAATAATATTAATGGTATCTGTGACTCTTAAGCAGAACACTCTGAACAATACTTCTTCATCACTGAATACACCATCATCTAATCAGATGTCTTGAATAAAGACGAAAGCTAAGGTGCTCAGTTGTTTCCCTTTTCCCGTGTGATTTTATCAAGATTTATCTTATCCACGTTTTCATTGTGGATCAACATAAAATAAATAAATAAATAAATAAATAAATAAATAAATATATATATATATATATATATATATATATATATATATATATATATATATATATATATATATATATATATATATATATATATGTATATATATATATATCCAAGAAAAAGCAATCCCATTCCAATTCATATAACATTTATTAGTTTGGTTAAATATTAAAATTACCCCCATCAATAACTGTAAAAATCCCTCACCTTTAATTATTTTGCATTGACAATTTTAATTTCACAATAATGATTATTTTATTTATACTTACAATAACCAGAGGAATTTCCTTCTATGCTGACAGTAATTTTGGAAATGTTAAATAAATAGGTAAATAAAAGTAGACTGTCTTTTTGGTTTACAAATTTATAAACTGAGATTCTGTAATATTGTTTTTTAATTCAAATAACTGTACTGTACATGTAAATTTCATAAATTACATAACTAACAGCAATTAACATAAATTTTGTGTTATTACCATTTGCGTTAATAATTAAAACTTTACATCTACATCAAGAATCTTTCTTTTAGATATTAAGATTCCGTGGCTACAAAAGGTTTGAAATCCCCTGAATGTGTATAATACAACTCTCGACATTTTTTCTTTAAAATTATCTATCATTTCTAATTGACCTAACATTTTTTTCTCACTTTCATTGAAAATTTAAATTTCGATTTAGTAATTACCAAACGTCACAAAGGTACTGGAGTAAGGATACTGACAGCTTTGTATGGATGCTTATGTTTGTGTCTACTGAGTGCACATCTGTCTACTGAGCTCTGTTAGGTAACTTTTCGCTCTAACCTAAAAGTAACCAAACCTTTCTATTGATTCTATTTGCTGACCCTGCCTGGCCTTAAATTATCCTTTGGTTGAGAACTTTTTCTTGTAATATTCTCTGAATAATCAAAAATACATCTCCATCATCAGGCTGACAGCGACTGACAAGAGAATCTCTGGTCAGTCACACTTTGTTAACTAAACCTCTAATCAGTCTTTGTGTCCTGTTGGTCTCGGGTGGTGAGCAGAGGGTATATATAGAAGGGACCTCTTAGTAGTGGTAGTTACCCTGGACTGATAAGGGTTGCGATTTGTTTATTTGGGTTCTTGATATAATTCTATGTTGGCCGCTGGTTCGGGTGGCTTATCCTGGTCTTTGGTAAGTCTTAGGACTAGATATCTTTAGAGCGACGTTTCACCACTTTCATATATCATTAAGTTTCTTCATTGTGATCATGTTCCTCCTGAATCATGACAGTTGTTGATAATAACACAAACACGAAACAGTAAAATAAGTCCATGCCAAATACTGATAATTGCACGGCCACCATTGCTGACAGTCACACAGTAACTGGTAAATAACGTCATGACATGTTGACATTTACATAACCACAGTTGCTGGTAACTACTAAAAAAATTAACAGTTACACAGCAAAATTAATTGTCAAAAAAATTCTTATCAATTGTTAACAGTTACTTGGCCATGGTAACCGGCACTGTAACCAGTTGTAAACTACGGGCTTCTAGTGGACAGTTACCTGCTGGGAGCGCCGACAACTCATTATTATAAAGCCCAGTTCCGATTAATTAAAGTGTCACCAGCACCTGGGCCAGTCAGTGCCTCAAGTTGTTGATATTCACTGGAAATGTCATTTCAACTGACTATACAATTGGAAAATTTAAGATTAATTAGTCTCACTGATTGGGAACAATAAATGTATGCATGTTTTAATTAATCCTGGTAATTAGGCGCCTGAAGCCGTTTTAACTACCTCATCAGGACTCTTTGAATAAATAAATAAACCGCTGAGAGAGAGTACACTTTACCTCACATAATTCTGTTCAACGTCATCGTTGGAAACTACAAGACCGATATCTCTTGAACTCATAATAAATGTTTGCAAATAAGTTTATGAATAAAAAATTATATCTTATATAATGACCATTGTTATGAACTGATGGACTATACCAGGAACTTTATGGTTTGTTTCTTCTTCAGGAACTTTGCGCATCTTGTTAGACTCGTGTCATAATGATATGCAAGACATTGCTTGAGGATACTATTACACAGAAATAACTGCTGGTACAGTCACATCCACACTAGTACAAAATCACATTCGCACAGTCGTAGTCATAAAGATGCAGTCTCATAAGTATGGTAACAGTATATGCTCACATTCATACATAATCAATCATACATGTGTTCTCGAGTGGCAGGAATTATCAGTACACAAGGCCGGGTGTTATTATATGATCTATGAATTTCCTACAGGAATTATTCAGTAATCCTCATTATAATTATAAACTCAACATCAACAGCGAAAAACAGGTGTAAAAAATAGCAATACAAAAACATCAACCAATACCAATGTATTATATCACGTCCTGTACACACAAAGTAAAAAAAAAAAGACTTTCTTAAATAACATCAGAACTACAAACCAATTCACCAAAAATTATATATCATTTTAGTGATACACTCTTCCTGTGGGTTACTGATCGAGTTGTCTGTCAAGTCTTTAGAAACCCCAATATAACCTAATCTAAAATAAATCCTGTATTACGATTGAGGCGCAAGAGAAATGGTCCCCTAATCTCCTCCAGTCTTAATGGTTTGGGTAGGGTAGGGTAGTTCAAGTTAAATTAAATGAGGCCAATTTAAATTAGGTCCTACCTTAACACACAACTTGAAGGCAGTACTACATACACAAAATCCCAACAGAGAAAATTCTATCATAAAATTTCCTTCTGGATAAAATCTCACCACAAAATAATAAAGTGAGCAAAATGATAAAAATCCCAGCGCTGAAAGATTCTTTCAATCTTAATACCCCGGGAGATTTTGTCCTTCAACTAAAATTTTTTTTTTTCTTTTACTGTACGTCTGGCGCAGCCTGAAAATAAAGAAATTAAAATACAGTAAGCAAAAATATTAAGGCACCTTACTCCGGAACTACTGTTGATATCAGGCGTCATCAACGTTTTGTTCATATTCTTAACACCAACAAGGAGAATAATTCTTATTCAGTAACAAGAGGGTAATATTTATATAGTCTCTTCATTTGATAAAAAAAAATGCACATACGCACAGACGTACCACTTCTATAGTATTTGTAATTTATATAAAAACTCTTCTTTCATTCTGCGTATTGTGGAGACGTTATTGATCCATGTGGCTGTGACACTATTTTAATTTTCTGTTTCATCAGTTTTGAAAGAGAAATAGCTCCGTGATTACACAAAGGCTATAACTGTGATTAATCTCCTAGTACATAATTAGTCAAATATTATCAGTATTAGTTATTACTGCGAATGACATAAGATGCGCATGTCAGGACCTTCCGTCACCTTCTTTGGTATTTCCTGGTCGGCCGGAGGATATAAATGTTGGGAGGATCAGTTGAGACCATCCATTCTGCAGAAGGTCGTGGTGGAGTTCTCAACTTCGGAGACGGCACAAACACGATCCGCGTCCTGCAAATACACAGTAAAGGTAGGAAATTTAGGACATTTATCATCGTTCATTATAGCGATAACACGAAATCCCCTTTTTTAATAAATCTGTAAACAATTTATTTTATATTACGAAAACGATGAAAATTTATCCCACTATTTTCATCAGAGTAAATTCAGCGAGTTTTTTGTGCGCGTCAGGTTAGCTTTTTTTCAGTCCTAAATTACTTTGGTCTTTCGCATATTTTTAGCGAATTCGTAAACTCTTATTCGATTTAAAAAGCAAATTTTATTAATATAATCAGGATGTGCAGATAAAAATGTCTAATTTTATTAAATATTATGCATATTGTAGTGGACGTCTCCCCTACAACTGCGTACTGTGTGTGTGTGTGTGTGTGTGTGTGTGTGTGTGAATAATAATAATAATAATAATAATAATAATAATAATAATAATAATAATAATAATAATAATAATAATAATAAACGGTTTATTAATAGAGTTGCAGCCGGTGGCTGAAAATATACAGACTTACATTTAATTTAGACATAATGTGTGTGTGTGTGTGTTGTGTAGTGGTAACTTTCTTTCTGTCACGGTAAATGATGGGTAACACTTTATCTGTCCAAGTTTACAACTCGACAAACTTTAGTGATTGTACATAATTTCACTCATTAACAATTAAAGCTGTAAAAAGTAAAAGACATTTCCATAGAAGTTATTTAATGAATTATATACACGGCGCGACTGACTGAAGGTTAACTCAGGGAAGTAAAACATGCACTGAGCACCCTGCCTAACAGACTGTCGAGGTATGTGTGTTCGTAAAGTCGGGTATATAAGTGAATCATATACTGACCAATCAAATAGGCTTCAAATCGGTCACGTCATGTAATTCAATGGTTCTTATTGGTGTATCAGGGGCTAATGCCAATCAAAGGGGGTTTCGTAAAATTATTTTTCTTGGAATCTTATGCTCTATGTGTATAGTTGAATTTCAACATTTTAATAAAATACTGTATACCCTGTAGTATAAGCAGTGCCAGCGCAAACGATCAACAGCGCCTGGTAGTTCTTATTCCGAAGTGAAATGATTATACAAGTAACGCCAGACGAACGTTCGCCCTCTTTCTGCCAACACTGACATTCTTTTCTGGTTGGAGCGTCCGTTTTTAAGTCTTAATCAGTAAGAAATACAAGACTGCAGAGTCATGTTATTTTTATCTGACCTGGCGACACACACACACACACACACACACACACACACACTTTGACTTAGGCACGGTGAGTGCTCAAGTATCAGCCCAGATAATGAGTTTATTGAATGATTAGCAGAGTCAATACGAAAGGCGGAACTCATCACCTGGGTAAACACAGAGGGCCTCCAGGGTACCACGCCATGCTGTGGCACGCGCCCAACCCCAGCCATTCTTTGCCACTTACTGGTGCCTCGAGTGACTGTGTTCATACGCTCTTATCTTCCCTGTCGAGAGTGAAGAAGCCTCTGGCCCTCAGTGTGGGTTCCAGCTAGGCCTGCTACTCACCTGCTATGACGAGGCGTGAGGAATGTTTGTTTTCGTAACTTATAGGGACGTATAAATCCTGTAATCTATGACATTGGTGCACTTGTATATTGAATCAATTTATATGTATTCAGTATTGATCCCATGTTGAGTGTTTTTTTTATGGCTTTATAAGTACACGAATCTTACAGTCTATGACAGTTGGCGCTCGAGCTCCTCAGTGGTTACTCAACATTCATGCTTCCCAAACTCACCTATGCCTCCCATGCCTAGTCTTACTCCCTAAATGACACGCAACGTAAACTCCTAAAGAAAGTGCAATAAGAGAGCATGCAGGATTATTTCCTCCCCTTCCTACTCTACATATAAAGAAGCGATCAACACACTGACCCTCTAGGCTCTCTCTGACCATCAACACGACCTCATCTGCAAATTTGGTGAGAAGCTTCTGCACCATCCTCGACACCGGCTCCTACTACCATCCTAGGTCCCTCGACCGCGAATTGCTGTTCGACACCACAACTGCACACAGCCCATATGAGCACGTACTGATCGCTGTAAGAACAGCCCAGTCTCAATCATTGTAAAACCTATCAGTAACCTGTAATCGACCAATGTGTTCACTCCCAGTCAATATTACATTTTTTGCACTGTCACTATGTTGAAATGCCCTGTATTATGCCCTTCTCCCCACATATTGATTGTATTTCATATTTGTATCACGTGTTACTTGTATATTATTTGTCAATCAAGGGACCCATTCCCCAATTTTGCAACTGAATATTTTCAGCCTTCCGGCTGCCGCGTTCTTCCAATAAACCGTTAATTATTATTAATTTTTTTATTGCATGTGAAAATAATTTAAATGAACACATATCTACACTTCGTTGGTAGAAGATAGAGAGGAGATATTTCACCAGGCCACAGTTGTCACCTTCAACAGGGTCTCTGTTGCAGCTGTGGCCACCCAGGCTATCTACCTACACCAGGTGTATGGTGTATGACTGTAAGGGAGGAAGGTAGCGAAAGAAGAAATGAAAATGAAGAGAGCGAGGAGAAATGAATGGTCAAAATTGGTGCGTCATCAAATGCAGGGTTAAAAGTAGTAGGGTATATAAAATAGACATAACTAAAAATTATATTTATTTATACTGAAGTATATATAAAAATATATAAATATATAAGAGTTCAGTCGTTGCAGGTGTCGCATATAAGGTTAGGTCCTGTGAGGTAGAACCCAGCTCTGGGGTTTCCGTTTTCTCAAGATTATCTGAGGAAGGCAAAGCCTGTGGACAGTCGGGAGGGCTTGATTTCTCAACCTCGAATCCTAGTGAGGTAGAACCCAGCTCTGCGTTTTCCACTTTCCGGTCGTCAATGGAGGATGACAAGTCCTCCAGAGATGTGACCAACGTTTCTATTATAACCTCGATTTCCGGCCGCCATGGTTCATCCTTATCCATCATTTCCGTACATAGCGTCTTTACATCTGACGGCCAGTCTATTATAAGGTGATCATCTTTCAATTGTTCAAAAACTTGAAAAATTGCATAACCTAAGGAATAGATGTCACCCCCTGGAGAACAGGGCTTGCCGGCTAGGACCTCGGGGGCGTAGTGAGGGAATAAGGTGTGGTCCTTACACTCAAAGTTTATGCAGTCTCCATTATATTTTGCTAGACCAAAATCGATTAAATTGGCTTTAATGAATCCGTCATCCAACATTTCGATCAGAACATTATCTTATTTAAAGTCGTTGTGGACCACTCCTCTGTCGTGGACCTCTCCCAGACTGGAGGCTATTGCTATGAAAATTTTTAACCAGGTAGCGACTGTGTACTGTTCGTTGTCAAGCAGCGTGTCTAAAGTTTTTCCCTTACAAAAAGACATAATTATGGCTGGGAAATCTGCGCAAGATGCCATCACGACTGGAGCTCCACCAGCGCCATCGAGACGCTCCATGAGACAAGTTTCTTTAATAAAAGTCCACTGCAGGGACGACTCAGCACCAAGCTTAAGACAAACCGGTTGGTTGTTGAGGTTAGCGAGGAAAACTGTTCCACAGGCTCCAGAACCAAGTACTTTCTTTATCTGTAATCCAGTGAAAAACTTGTCGAGGGGAAGATCGTCTTCGGCACAGTAGTATGACTTGGAGGATGCTGAGGGCAGGTTATTTTTTATTATATCCTTTATTTCGCTGCAGGATATATTTCCTGGACCCCTGTCTTCGAAGTCTTCCCACAGACTGACGTCGGCTTCGAAACTCTCGCAAGTCATTTTCTCATATTATTTTGTCAAGTCTTGGCCGGTACCTTCACAACTTTCATTCATAAGGCTGAGAAAAATGTAGTAAGAGGTCCTGATGATAGTCGTCTTACCTAATGCTGTAATAGTGACTACTCACAACTCTGATAGTAATGATATATTTTATAATTTTAGTAGTGATGTTGTGCTGGTCGTTGTTTACTTGTTGTAGTGATGGTTATATAAGTGTGGTAGTGATGTTGTAGTGGTGGTTATATAAGTGTGGTAGTGATGTTGTACCGGTGGTTATATAAGTGTGGTAGTGATGTTGTAGTGGTGGTTATATAAGTGTGGTGGTGATGTTGTAGTGGTGGTTATATAAGAGTGGTAGTGATGTTGTAGTGGTGGTTATATAAGTGTGGTAGTGATGTTGTACCGGTGGTTATATAAGTGTGGTAGTGATGTTGTAGTGGTGGTTATATAAGTGTGGTAGTGATGTTGTAGTGGTGGTTATATAAGAGTGGTAGTGATGTTGTAGTGGTGGTTATATAAGTGTGGTAGTGATGTTGTAGTGGTGGTTGTCTAATTATGGTAGTGATGTTGTATGGTGGTTATATAAGTGTGGTAGTGATGTTGTAGTGGTGGTTGTAGTGGTAGTTTGTCTAATTATGTAGTGATGTTGTACCGGTGGTTATATAAGTGTGGTAGTGATGTTGTACCGGTGGTTATATAAGTGTGGTAGTGATGTTGTACTGGTGGTTATATAAGTGTGGTAGTGATGTTGTACCGGTGGTTATATAAGTGTGGTAGTGATGTTGTAACGGTGGTTATATAAGTGTGGTAGTGATGTTGTAGCGGTGGTTATATAAGTGTGGTAGTGATGTTGTAGCGGTGGTTATATAAGTGTGGTAGTGATGTTGTACCGGTGGTTATATAAGTGTGGTAGTGATGTTATAACGGTGGTTATATACAGGTAAATATAGTAGTGATGTTGTACAGGTGGTTGCTTAATTGTCGTAGTGATGTTGTAACGGTGGTTATATAAGTGTGGTAGTAATGTTGTAGTGGTGGTTGTCTAGTTATGGTAGTGATGTTGTTGAGGTGGTTGTATAATTAGGGTAATGATGTCATAATGTTTTAATTATGGTAGTGATGTTGTAGTGGTGGTTATATAATTATGGTAGTGATGTTGTTGAGGTGGTTGTATAATTATAGCACTGATGTTGTAGTGGTGGTTGTATAATTGTAATAGTGATGTTGTACCGTTGGTTATATAAGTGTGGTAGTGATGTTGTACCGGTGGTTATATAAGTGTGGTAGTGATGTTGTAGTGGTGGTTGTCTAATTATGGTAGTGATGTTGTACCGGTGGTTATATAAGTTTGGTAGTGATGTTGTAGTGGTGGTTGTCTAATTATGGTAGTGATGTTGTACCGGTGGTTATATAAGTGTGGTAGTGATGTTGTAGCGGTGGTTATATAAGTGTGGTAGTGATGTTGTAGTGGTGGTTATATAAGTGTGGTAGTGATGTTGTAGTGGTGGTTGTCTATTTATGGTAGTGATGTTGTACCGGTGGTTATATAAGTGTGGTAGTGATGTTGTAGCGGTGGTTATATAAGTGTGGTAGTGATGTTGTAGCGGTGGTTATATAAGTGTGGTAGTGATGTTGTAGTGGTGGTTATATAAGTGTGGTGTGATATTTGTGGCGGTGGTTATATAAGTGTGGTAGTGATGTTTGGTGGTATATAAATATATTGGTAGTGATGTTGTAGCGGTGGTTATATAAGTGTGGTAGTGATGTTGTACCGGTGGTTATATAAGTGTGGTAGTGATGTTGTACCGGTGGTTATATAAGTGTGGTAGTGATGTTATAACGGTGGTTATATACAGGTAAATGTAGTAGTGATGTTGTACCGGTGGTTGCTTAATTGTTGTAGTGATGTTGTAGCGGTGGTTATATAAGTGTGGTAGTGATGTTGTAACGGTGGTTATATAAGTGTGGTAGTGATGTTGTAGTGGTGGTTGTCTAGTTATGGTAGTGATGTTGTTGAGGTGGTTGTATAATTAGGGTAATGATGTCATAATGTTATAATTATGGTAGTGATGTTGTAGTGGTGGTTATATAATTATGGTAGTGATGTTGTTGAGGTGGTTGTATAATTATAGCACTGATGTTGTAGTGGTGGTTGTATAATTGTAATGGTGATGTTGTAGTAGTGCTTGTATAGTTATGGTAGGGATGTTGTATAAATGGAAGTCTGGGTTAAACAAAGCTGGTATAACAAAGGTACTCAAACTATTTAACCAGAAGCGAACCCCCTAACAATTGTTTAAAATTGGACAAATTTAGATTTTGGCGCGAGATAGGTAAACTTTGGTTTGAACATAGAGTAGTTTATGAGTGGAAGAAATTACCGAACTTTATCATTAACTCTAACACGCTGGGTAGCTTTAAAGATTTATTGGACGGATATATGAGCGATAGAGGTTGGGTGTAAACGGGGCCGCCTAGTATGGGCCGATAGACCTGCTGTAGTTTCCTCCATTCTTAAACTAGGATTCCATTCACGCGGGAGCGATAGCGTTGTACATTTGCAGTACATTTAAATCGGTCCCTCGGTCACTGTAGCGATTGAAACGCAACCTCATGGAAATGGACGAGGGTGTAGGGGTATCGAGATATAATGTTGTCTAGCACTCAGGATGGAAGGAAACTCTAATGTGGTTTTCTTGTATAATATAAGTTATATGATAGACAGTCTGGTGCTGGAGGTGCCGTGTGGTGAGGAGCTGGTCAGTAGAGACGTTCGGTGAGTAGCGTGTTGAAGGAGGTAGATGTGCAGGAGCTTCGTTAGAGAAGATGTTGCCTGTTGCTGGCCTCCTGGTGAAATGAATGCTGACAGCGTGGAGCTTGCTGGAGGAGGTGTTGCTTGTTCAGGAAGATGGGCAGAATGAATAAGCTGGTTGGTGAGGAAGCTCAGAGAAGGACAGCTGGTGGGTCGCCATGCTCGCTGGCGGGAGCGAGGACCGCCAGGCAGGCGAGGAGAAGCGAAGGCAGCCAGGCAGCGGCGGAGGAGGTGTTGCTTGTTCAAGAAGAATGGTCAGAATGAATCTCAATGGAGAGACAGAGCTTATATACCCAGCAGCCGCTATGAGTCATGTTGGGAAAACCCAGAAAGTCGCCGGTCACTAGTTTCGTTGCTAAGTTGTAGGGGAGACGTCCACTACAATACTCCCCCTTCCCTCCAGGCGGTGTAGGAGACTTGTTGTCTGTAGAGTTGCTTAGCACATGTGAGGCAGACCGGGCGGTGCATGCCTCATGTGAGACAACGGCGATGGCGTGAATGAGCCGATCGCTGAAATACAACTGTCTAGATACACACTATCTGTGGGAGAAGGGAGAAAAAGGGTGTGTGGAGGCGATGAATGTTGTGCTTCATTTTGGTATATGCAAGTCGCTGAGCCCACACACACCACACAAAACCAACTCATACACACCGCATATACAGGTAACACCAACCAACTCATACACACCGCATATAACACCAACCAACTCATACACACCACATATAACACCAACCAACTCATACACACCACATATAACACCAACCAACTCATACACACCACATATAACACCAACCAACTCATACACACCACATATAACACCAACCAACTCATACACACCACATATAACACCAACCAACTCATACACAACATTTCTAATTGTTAATAAGTGTCAAAAGTATCGATGAAAATTGTTAGAAGAGATGATTTTACAAACTTAAAATTAGAGACACACAGACACACTAACAAGTAGAAACAAAACTTACAGAGACAACCTTATGCACATAGAAGTAAGAACACATTATAAACAGATATTACAGAGCTCATACACATTGAAGTACAAACACACGGACAAACAAATACACTGACAGAATTAGACAAACTGTTACAGAAACAAACGCACTCAAATACAAAGGAAGGGGAAAACTAAAAGGTTTTAACAGATATCGGTTTTTATTAGTCACTGTAACGGAACAGTGTGTCAATAAAGCCAAAGTTTGCAGTGAGCACGTCATTAGCTGTTAGTTCATCATTATCTAATATACTATAGGAATAGCCGTGTGTCTGTCTGTCTGTCTGTTCTGGGCAGCCGAAACGGCACAATCGTTTTTCATCAAACTTGGTGGAAAAATCGTAGAGTGGAACAAACCTGGTCCCATGTCGATGGTTTCTTTAGGAAGGTATTAATTAGCTATTGTATTTATGCTGGAAATGATGTTGCTGTACGCTGTCAGCCGGATGGCGAACCGGGCACGAAGGGCCCACGATTACTTGTTTGGATCTATAATATGTTTTTGTATCTTACAACAATAAACCTTTTGAGGATGTTAGCGAGGTTATTGTCCTTGGCTCTAGCTTATGGAACAGTTGAAAGCAAATGATGGTACCCAATAGACTTTCTTATCCGTTATTGTTAGAAAATCTCTGTTTTACATCGGCTATTATTGCTCACAATTGGGAAGGACCATGAAACCAATTGTAACCTACTTTAAGGCACCTTCAGTCCTTCACACAACCCCCCAGAATCAGCGATTTCTCCGACAATCTCGGCTATGTATAACCTGATGTGAATCATGTGATCTTATAACACAAACAGACACAATCATTAAACAAAATTGAATGAAGAAGTAATTATTATATTTACAACCAATTAAATAAATATATTTCTGAAGAAATTTTACCTGAAAACATTCTCATTGTAGTCAGACTTAAAGGCTCCTCCATATCCCCGCGCTTCATTAAATGTAAGGAGAAATAAAAGCTAATTAGACTATTATTTTTAATACATGTATATATATATTTTTTAATACTGTATAATAATTTTTACCAGGCTGTGACAGCAATCGTACTGTTCCTAGACTGAGTAAGTGCTATTTGACTGTTTGATGAACGATGGTTCTGTCGCTGCAGGAAGTGCTACAGAATCCAGAGGTAATCCGTAACATGCAGGAGCACCCCAACACCTTCAGGTAATTTACTATGTATCACAAATATAGTCAACTTCTGCATGTATCACTGTTTATTTTTACTCTATATATTTACTTGCCTTGAGTCATTCCCAAGTGTTTCTCCTGTTCCTTGTGGTTTCTGAGCCCCTTTTTTATCCCATACAAAAGTGAGGGGGATTACTGGAAAAGGGGAGACACAAGTTCAACAAGACGGTGTTAACAATTGAATAAAAAGAAAGTTTAAATGTAATAACAGAAAGGGGCCTATTTATTTGATGGACGTTGAAGCCAACCTGTTTTATTACTTATAATTTTTGATGAACTATATACTGATTAGCATTATCAGTTTCCCTTACCATTAGGTCTACTGTAGTGTTAACTGAGGTACGTTTATAAGAAATGCAGTCCAAAAAAATAATTGAAAATATAAATCAAAGATGCATCGGCTACACAATATTGTAAGGGGAAACAGACCAAAAGGCCAAGAGCTATGGAGGTTTTAATCAACCGTCTGAGACCAAAAGGTCTGTTGGTATTTTTTAATTGTATATTATACACATTATATGTATAAGCAGGCCTGCTGATTCTATAAATTTTCCACTAGCCCATCGGGCAAGAATATTTTCAAATCCACTGCTTGATGCCTGTCTTGGGTTGGGTCCTCGATTTCAAGCGAATGCAACTTGACAGCTAGTAAGGTCACTTGAAAGACTGCTACGCCAATCAGAGTGTAAATTTCATGGCACTGAAGCCTCACTCACATTCGGCAGATGAGGATGGGAGAGTAAGAGCGAGGTCAGTCAGTGCAAGTAGGTTAGGACAGTCCTGACCATACTCCCTGTTCTAGGTGTGGCCAAGTCACAGTCTTTAGTCTCTTTTCCCAGTTGCTGGCCATGTAAACATCAGTCTTCAGCTTTACCCATTCCCCAGATACTTTGGGTGTGTCCACCTGCTGCTGCTGTATTGGGTGATTTGGAAATGATCGAGGAGTGTTGCCAGGGCCCCCTTGCTAAAGTCTAATACAGAATAGACAATAGTTAACCAAATGAACCACACATTTAGGTGCAACCAAGACCGATTTGCATTGAGGAAAAAGACCTTGATCGCTGTGTTTGATGATTTCTAGGGGGCGCCCATGAGCAGTTTAGTGCATTGTATTGCCTAAACAAAGTAACTCTTGTTTCATCCACACTCTTCAAATTTACTCTTCCATCGATATAACACACAAATAATTCGATGGGTAATGCCACCTGTGAAGAAACTTCAGGAAAATCCCCAAGTTTGGAAAAGGCAGATTGAATATGTGACTTCTCCGTGACCTAATACGGACATACCTTTCCTTCTCGCATGAATGATGTGTAATTGCGCCCTGTAAAGGCATGCAGCACTGGTAAGGCAGCGCAGATGGTTTTTCCAAGTTTTGTAGCAAAGACAGTTATATTTATTGATCTGCGAGTATTGTTACTGCTGGAGCCAAGGTCCAATCAAACCTTGGCAGTACTCTTCGAAGCATGATACAAGAGAATCACTAGTATGTCAGTCTAATTTGCTCAGACAATAACCTGGGTGTCTTTCATAATCTGGTTGACTTGATTCACAAGAAGAACAACAACTCGTGTCTGCTCCCTAGGGCTGACAGCTTACCTCAAGTACAATATGTCGAGATGCTGGTCCTCTTTCCACTTGAAATCTGTAGCACTTCTCTTCTAGAGCTAGATAGACCTCATGAACTTGTAGTACTTCCATATAGGTATCCTTTTGCCATTCAACTGCAAGGGATCTAAAGAATGTTGTCTTAATTGTGCCAGATGACAGTGCTTTACTAAATTTTTTTGATAGTTTGTGTTCAGGACCAGTAATAAAAATGTGAACCTCAGTTAACCCACGCATCTACCGTTCATAACTTAGATTGGTGGACTTTTATTAATATCACAGACAAAATCCACACGTTTAGCATGCGCAAACACCTTTGACAATGGGACTCGGGCCACCCCACCAAAGGTAACAGAAAGATCTGATGAGAAACAAGGCATCGAAGACACAAGCATTTGTTTTGGAAGGTGGCTGAATATCTATTCTCATAACAGTTTTTTTTTTTTTTTAGAAGTGCAGCCTTTCCAGTTTTGTTGTTTGACCCATTAAGATGAGCCAGCGATGTTGATATAGGGATGATGGGGTAACTTAAAACATTTGAGAGATCAAGATTGTTCCCTGTGGCAAGGTACACAGTGATCTTCCATATAGGTATCTCCTGTATCTTCATATCTTTCCCAGTTACTTTTACTCTGATTGCTCCAAAGTTCTTCACTCTACGTCGTGGAATGATTTATCAAACATTCTAGCATCACCAGAGCAGCCGATAACAAAACATTGCATCAACTCTTCTTTCACCTTCTCTGAGACTGCACAACCATTTGATATGCAGTACTGTACAAACTTGGATCATTTACACCTTCTGCAAAGGGATTAAGCCTTGTATTAATACCATTGATCAGCTTCTATAGGTCATCATTATCTCGCTTACTTCTATAGGGTTTCAGCTTTGTCCTCTTGTAATTTCATACCTCGCATAGCAAACAGATTGCCAACAATTGCGCTACGCATTCCTCGGGTTATTTATTATAATAAATAACCCGAGGATGGATAATTATCCATCTTTGGTGCGCCGCAATTGACTGCCTGAATGCAGAAGCCCCTGTCAAACGAGCTGTTTCTGCATTGACTGTTTTCTCCAATATTTGATCCACTGGTGTCTTTGCAAATGATCTTCCTGTGCGTGTAACTAACAATCCTCCATTTTTCAATATTTGAAGAACACCAGGGTGAGTTACGTCAACGTTCAGCAGATTCATATGAAACTTAATCATCATCTTGAGTAATTCGGACGCCCTGCGGCAAAAAAATACAGGGGACAATTTCCCAAAACAGGCTCTGTTGAACAGTCGAAAAAATTCTACCAACTCTATATACACCATCCAATGCTATGCAGTGCTGCCATGGTTTCCTGACTTTATGTCATCAGTGAATTCTTCATACCGCTCCATGAACTTCTTGAATTCTGGTAACCTTTCAATGATTCAGTAGTGTGGTAGAAATAATCCCAGTCTTTGCAATGAAGGTATGAAGATGCAGTACATGAAACACTGTTGCTAGAAAATTATGCGGCCTCTTACACCTATTAAAATGCTTGCCTGAAAGAAACCCATGAAGTGAGCCTGCTGCAATATCTTTTATGTGTGCTAAAACTTGGGGTCCTTCAGATTCATCTAGTATATATCGCAAGGCTCCAAAACTATGCCATCTACATATAAAATGCACCAAAACATATAAAAACATTGTCAAAACGTGGAGTTTCTGAAGCTTGAATTTGCAGAGCAAGATTGGCAGTAGCAAGATCGTTGTCACCAAAAATGTTTCTCCATATTCACTAGCTACTTCCTGAGATCTCAGGGTTTCAGCCACCAAGTCTAGTCTTGTAGGCGGTAGATTGAGACTTTTCTATGTATCCAACGGTCTGCTGCGCTAGTAGGTCTACTGGCACTTAAGTTCCATCCTGTCCATATGGGTATATCCTTGAAAAAGGCACAAGAGACCACCCAAAGCATATCAAAACACCAGCAAATCACATATCAAGGTGAAATACATAAAACAATAATTAGAGAATAACAGTATAATTGTTCTTCATTGAAAAAAATATTTTTGAGGAAGAGGTAAATAGTACTTCCAGACAGCCATACGAAAACGTACTATACGCGAATATAGCTAAGTCATATTCCGGCATCAAAAACGCCACCGCGCGTTACCAATTTTAAATCCTCTCCCATACACTACTGTCCAGACTGTGGCAAGTAATAAATTATATTTTGACTTACGCATATAATGTATAATTCAGAAATAGTATCAAACTTCCATAGGCTTATTGCTCTACAAGCAGAATAGTAAACTATTGACGGAGCCATGTGCTATAGGCAATGTCGACGGAGCTCTAAGCCCAGGGACTCCCAAGCGTTAGGGTTTTGTTAGAGGATATGTAACTGGTTCCCATAACTTAAGGCAATATACATGATGGTGTTGGTTGTGCAGGTTTTCGGAAGAGGTGGATCTGATGGTGGCGGTGATGCAGCGGCCGCCTCATGTGTTCGTCAGGGAAGCGGAGGACGGCAGCATTGTCATCTCCGGACCCATGGCTAATGTACTCAACATTCTGGCAGACTCAATCAACTTTACGTAAGTTATTTTCATATCACCAACAAAGATATTTTTCTGGCAAAAACAAGTTTTCACCTACAAAAATATATATAACATTAAACTCGGCAAAACAAGAAGGGCTGTAAATTTACCGATTTTGTGGCGCACCCTTGCAAACATGCCACACATGTGATGTCACGGCAGGCAAAAAAATTGTCTCGTCACTTAGAATGGTAGATATATATTTATTCAGTAACATCGTCATACAAGCTCACATTGGTTCAACATCTACATAGACTACAAGTGTACAAACGGTGGCAAACTATAAATCGATTCACCCTATAAGATAACTCAAGAAAGCTAGTAAAAGCTCTTTTCCTTTCCGTGTTTATGAGCAGTGACTAATCAAATAACAATGTCCATATAATAGACACATAAATTTGTAGCTACAAATAGTAGAAGCACTACACTGTGCTTAGGACTGATTGAGACTTTTAAGTGTTCTTCATAGTACAACTTTCATAGATCAATACTACAATAATTCACATGTCATCTTTTGCTGTAGCTTCATCAGGCATGTAGCGGTGAATTGTAATTTTTCATTGTTTAAAATATCATTTGATTTAATGTGATTGGGAATTTTTTCCAGTTTTTATAGCTGTAAAGAGTGTTTTTTGCTTCACTGTGTAGGCCTACAACAGGTAATACAAAATTATATTCACTGGCTTAAGTGCCTTACTGACGTAGATTTGTAACCATTTTAGTGTAGGACAAGATATTCAAGACCTATTAAATTACGTTAGCAATTTTGAAAACTAATGATTGAGTTAACTATAATCGGTTTTTTTCTATCTGTCATATTAAACATATTTAATATTTTGCTGGAATTGGCTGCATCCATTCCAAGATAGACCTCACAATTTTGTTTAAAACATTTATAATTTGCCGTTTAGACTTTCGATCTTGTAATAAAATGATGCGCCATCATGATCAGGTTTAAGTTTAGTTTAACAAATTTATTGACAAAGCTTGAAGTACAGTTTGCCTACTCTGAGTAATTCAGTCAGATCTTGACACTGAGGGTGGTATCACTTCTCACTGCCACGCAGGACAGATGTTCATACACAAAGAAATAGATCTTATTCATTAACAGTATATATAGGTCAGATTCATGTGGGTTGATGTCGCTGCTCAGTGCCATGCAGGACAGAGGTTCGTACACAAAGAAATACATTCATTAGCAGTATATATAGGTCAGAATCATGTGGGTGATGTCACTGTTCACTGCCATGCAGGACATTGGTTCATATACATTGGACGTCATATTCTAATTGAAGACTAATCAGTGAGGGCTAACAAATTTTGGATAAACAGGTGACATTGTATGAGAGGTAAGCGTATGATTCTTCGAGACTCAATAGACAAGCATTGGGCAGCACCTGCCAATAAGAAACTTTTCTTCATTACATTAATTATGCAATTCATTTACTTTCCTTAATTTTATTTTTAATCTAAGTAATATTCCTTGTCTTTCGAATATGGAGATTTTTTTATATAACTTATGAGCAAATAATTTACAGAACATAGAAGGGTAGGGTCAAAGATTCTCTATTGTAAGCGCTACAGGTTCTCGACAAGGGAGTGCTAACTTGATAATATTAGCATTGACGATTTGTTTCCGGTTGTTAAAATAGAACTTAAGTCAGTCAACAGATACGACGAAGTTTTTTATAAAACTTGTGTTACCATCTGCATGTGTTCTAGGTATCAAGTTCTATCTACAGGAGCAAACACAAACACCTGTAGAGTTTTCGTAGGTTCTATTTCCTGGATAAACAGAGATACACAAGCGAGGTGGCGCTCCTTACTCTGTATGATGGGGGTCAACTAGCCTCTAGGCGACATGTGGCAAGTGATACATTAACAGCTCCCATATGTCGCCAGGCACATTAATTAAGCGTGTGGGACATGGTAAATACATTGCCACACGGTGCTAGCTGGGCTGAATAAATAGTGTATATAAATGGAGCACATACATAATATACATACATAATATACATACAGCATACATAATATACATACACCATCCTTTTGTTGTCTGCCTCAGATATTTAGGGCCTGATATCGTCAATGAGATAGTTAAACAGATGTCAATTGAATGAGAGCCCTCAAAACCAGATTGGTATTTATTTAGAATATTATACTCACTAGTGACCAAGTCTCAGGTTGCTCATCTGGACTTTCTTCCTCATTTGCACACAATTGCAGGGCCTCAATTATTTATCTTACTATTGGCAACACAACATACATGTATATATCGTTTCTCACTCTTTATTTATTTTTTTCATTATTATTATTATTATTATTATTATTATTATTATTATTATTATTATTATTATTATTATTTAAGTTTTATGTTTTATTATAATTTAATTTATATATATTAATTTTATTAATTATTATTCAACTTCAATTGTTTATTCCTTGATAGAGGAAGCGGGATCCTAGTGCTGTCACTAGGTACCCCTGTACAATGACACCAGAATCATCTGGCAAGTGTGACAAGTATATACAGTATAAATATTATAAAGGGGCTTATTATAATTATTATTATTATTATTATTATTATTATTATTATTATTATATCCCCTCCCCCAGGCCCAGATGTGGGTCAGTGACCTGTGCCAGAGTAGGCTAATCCTTGTATATATATATATATATATATATATATATATATATATATATATATATATATATATATATATATATATATATATATATATATATATAAAAGATATTTTGTCACTTGAAAATATACAGCTCTTTCTAAGAGTTTGGAAACATTACAAGATATTAACAGGCACATAATTACCTACTGTACATCTGCTGTTACCGTTCTTGGCGGCCTGTGAAACTGGCAACCTGTTGAAATAATGCAAACAAGATCTGTACTTGGTATTTCTTTAACGTTCTTGTTCACATGAATTCCCATATCATCTATTTCAAGGTGGTAAGAGCTGTCAGTGGTCATGAACCCTTACTAAGTGAGTCAATCATTGTTAATTTGGTAGATCTCTCTTCTTAATATTCAATATCACTTCTTACATATCTTACTACAGTTTTTCAGGCACAGAAATCCACGTAAGCATCAACAATACTTTCCGTTGACAGTTATCGACTAGTCTTGCCTGAGGACGGGACCTTCGGAACTCTGCTGCCAAATGGAAATTGGTCTGGCATGCTGGAGCTGGTCGTCAACCACGTACGTAAATCTTGCTGGGCAGATTTTCAAAGATTCTTAAGCTAAATTTTTTCCCCGAACCAGGCATACAAGAGTGCATTAGACAGTCTATTGTAGTCGCAAATGTCACCCCAGTGTCTCTTGTATACAGTAATCCCTCAGGATGTATCTACATGGAAGTAACGAAACAAGTGTTGAGAAAAAGCCGTATGTAGCCCACAAATTACGTCGGATATACCAACATATTATTTAACTAGCGTGATATCTAAATACTCATTTCATTGTAAGGAGATAGTTAATCAATGCACCATAAATGTTATTCAAGTTCATATTTTACAATAATTCCTTTTATCTTCCATAGGTGGCCACACAGGACATGTTGCGACCACCATGCGTTTGCATTAAATAAACATGGTGAACAGTACGTACAGTACAACAAATTATATACCTAACATAAAGTTATGTCAGTCGTTGAGAAGAAACGATTATTTTGATAAATTTGTATAAGCGCACCCAACTCTGCTAGAAAGTAGAAAATATATATATTTTTAATGTATTTATGTGTGTTTAGACCGATTATGACCTTCATTTCCGTCGGAAATTGGCCGGGTTTTTTTTCGATTTTTTTTCCCTGTGGGGCGTTTTCAAAAAAAAATAATGGCTAAGAGAATACAAAATAAAAAAAAAACACTAGAAAAACATAAACCAGACCTAACCTAACCTAACTGACTCTCACCATATGATGGAGTCACAATTCTTACCTTATTGGCCATCTCTTCTTTGTCTTTGGGATAAGGGACGAGTTACCACAATGCCACATATGTTGGTCTTGATGATATTTACATTCGTTCTTTCACTTAGGACACTTTACTGAGGTCGGGAGAACACCATGAGATCGAAAAAATGATTTAGTTTCTTCGTTTTTTCCCAAAAACTCGCAATCAGCTCTATATAATTGAAGTGACACCCATCGCAGACTTCCATGGTCGGAAATGAATTTGAATTTGGAAATATGAGAAACCCAAAATAAAAATCGAATTTGATTGGGCCAAAAATACAGCGAATTAAAGCACAATTCATTTTAATTGATTGCCAAAAAAAAAACGCTTTTGATTGGTCGGGTGACGTGTACGGGAACACATGCACGTGATGATTTATGAAGGAGAAACGCAGTGTGGGAGGTGAGGTAGGCGATAATAGCGGAAGGTTATTGGAAGAAAATAGAGAAAATTTTGGATACGCTTTCTCCGTTATTATACATTTGCGCCGGTAATGTAATAGAAGAAAATTATCTTATAATTAGACGTCTTATTCGAATATTAGGGGTAGGAATGTGGGGTGCGAAAAGACAATACTGTAATACCATTATTTTATATAAACTTCATGAATCAAATCTCATATTTCAATGTATTTTCAATCAAAATTTCTTGGCTATAAATTTGTGGGCCTTACTAAGGACGATTCAGTGAAATGCTGCCATCGACGAAAACAAATTGAAAGCTTTGTTGTAGTACTTTGGTTTATTCACGCCGTAATTAGAATTTCTTGTTAATATAATTCAGTCATAATATGCTAAAAAATATTTTTGTATATCATATACAGCAAACATTTAATAAGTCAAGACAGTACATCAATTTGTTTTAAATTTGCCAGTATGTAGATTTTGCTGTTGGAAGTATAACAATATAACATGCTATGTGGCAATGAACACGTTTGCTAGGTACAGTCATTTCGTTTGAGAATTTTTGAGTTTGTCAAACAGATCAAACAATTTGGCCTTTAGTACAAAATTCACTTAATAGTTCAGGCGTTAACTGTTTTCCCCTAGCAGGAATTAAGAGAATACAATAAATTAGAGGAACCTCGTGTAGTTTCGACCTTATTTTGTCGTCTTTCGTTATTCCTTAACTTATCACGGCTCTGTACGTTCTCGGTTCTCCATACACGAGACAAATCTAAAGTAGGAATCTGGAAATTCATTGTTGTTAGGTGCCGTATAACCCCCTAAATTTGTATTTGCAGTATCTGTCCTTCGACTACTAGGGTTATTAGGGCCAGACGCTTGGCGTTATAATGTTATTACTGAGCTTCAACAACTAAGGTCTTTAAACGTCGGGCTAGGGAGGAGAAACTTGGAATTTACGTATTATCTGTTTATGTATTGGTACAAGAGGACATTATATAAATTAATCTTACTAAAACTCTCAAATTTTTCCATGTGTGGCCTCGTAGTACACTGTATAAGCACTGTTCGTCATTGATGCCACAGTTGTGGGCGGAGCTTCTGGGCGACCACGTGGTAGAGGTGCAGAGGGCAAAGTGCTGTTTACCTGTTACCCTCGGCAATAAATTCAAATAACTACTGCTACAATTATTATCTTGCATGTTAAAAGACGTAGAACAAAATACACTAAAATATAACAGCTGTCAACCTATGAACTATGTATTTCTCGTGAGAAGTTTGTCCTCTGTTCCCACGTCGCTGCGTTGTACCTCTTGCCATGTCGTCTTGAATCTATTTTTAGTAACATGTAGCTGAGGTCATAGGTGACATATAATGAGTAAAAGTGAGCACATCTTGTAATCTTATTTATTTATCGTCTATTTGTACTATATTTTCTATCTCTGCAGAAGGCGGACATTACGTTAGGACCATTTGGATTCGATTCGAATAGGATGAAAGCTTTCGAGTTCACTCGATCCTTCTTCACTAGCGATGTCTGTATTTTGGCTGGAAAAGGACAGCCAGAAGTTGACCCATGGGGCTTTCTGTTCCCCCTGGAGCCCGTTGTTTGGGCGGTACTGATAGCAGCTCTCGTGGTGGCTTGGTTAGCAATGGTGCTGCTTGGCAACAACAACAATAAAAGTTCCGGATTCCTCAAATGGGCTTCTGATACATTCTTTCAACATCTACGAATTCTTTTACGCCAAGGTGAGCTTATACTGTTTATGACTGAGTTTAAACCAGATAAACCAATAAGAAAAGATATGATAGGTGTAATATCTGTAAAGAAGGTTCGACTATAATTTCGACGATGCCACATGTTCGGAAAGGCCGCCGAGGGGTGGAATACTAAAGGCTACCCGTGGGCAACTGTACATCAGTTTATTTTTATTCACTATACTGCATTCACCTTTTCTTGGTTCCACAGACATGATGGTGTTATACCGTAGTAGTGAGATGGTGTTGGTGATGGGATGGATGGTGGTGACGATGATGGTGATGTGGAGCTACGGTGGTAACCTGGTCTCCTTACTGGCAGTGCGACACATCCCTCAGCCCCTTCATACTATACGCCATGTCACCAATGCCTCGAATATCAAGGTCATCATGCCTCCACGGACCCTAGTCACCGCTGTTCTTGCCGTTAGTAATCATGATGTTAATGTCAATATTATTTTCACCCTTGAAAGCCTTTTCCTGTATGGTGCGCGGTAGCCGGGATTCATCAAGAATTCCACTGTTTCCTGGATACCCCTCCATTCCTATCCAGTATATTCATTATCCCGTTTATCCACCTTCGTCTTGGTCTTTCCCTCTCCCTCCTACCTTTCACTTCTGGATTAATTGTTCATTTCCCCAACACTTCGTTTCCTCTCGAAATATGCGCTACTACCCAAGTTAACCTTGATATACCCTTTATCTGATTCACTTTCGCATCTCATTTCCGTTAACCGTATTCTATGCATCCTCTTCACACTATGTTTTGCTCTTATTACATCATTTCCGACCTTTTAACACTTCTTGCACTTGGAGCCGCTCTCCTCACTGCTTTTTGCCTGACGATAAAGGAGCTCATAGACAGTCTGTCCAGTGAATTCAACTTTTGGTTCTTGGATACCGGCACTGGCGGGTTCGGCGGATTTGGTTTCAGAGAACATCAGAAAAGTGTTGACTCGGGGAGGCACTGTGCCTCACCCTCAGCACTAATACTGTACATATGAAAATATCTCAGATGATTACCGCACTGCTAGATGAGTAAAGAACATCTTGACGACAGCGTCCTGTTCGGGTCATCCTTTGGCGCCAACGCAATCCCTGTTGTCCTCTAAGGTCTAACGTAAACTGTACTTGAAAATAATGAAAGAGATACTAGGTCATTGGGATGCCCATAAGGCTTTGTATCTCCTCACGGTGCCTCTCTGTGTTTAGAATGATGTAATTCCTCCCGTGAGCACCACATCTTTCGGCAGCCACAAATTAAAATTATGAGATAAACTTCTCATATACTATAAACAACTTAAGCATTTAATTTCACATGACCACTGTCAGCATCTCTGTAATCTCAAAACTCTGGATTAGACGCGGCGGCAACCGATCCTAGGCAGCTCGATCTCCTGATTTAACTTTTTTGGATTCTTTTGTACGTGTATCACACAAGAGTTATAGTATCTACAGAATTTATTAGAACGTATAGAGAAACAGTTACAAAAACCACTCCTCAGATGCTTCAAAATGTGTTTGGCAATACAGCTAACAAATTTGAGATCTGCAAAGATACTGACGGTGGTCATGTAGAATTAAATGCTATACTTGCATTAATAAATGCAACTCTGATAATATTACAATATTGCATAAAGTATCCGATTTTGCAACGATGTCAATAAAATCAGTTTTAACTTTATAAAACTCTCTCTCTCTCTCTCCCTATATATATATATATATATATATATATATATATATATATATATATATATATATATATATATATATATATATATATATATATATATATATATATATATATATATGTGTGTGTGTGTGTGATAACATATAATTTATTTATCCTCCTTCAGTGTAGTAATCCCTCTTGTTCATAAGATCTGAATGTCCTCGCATTTCATCTTCGGTATCACCAGAAATCTAAATCTGGACCCCTAAAAGCCCTGGACCAACTGAGGCACGTGGGTCGTGTTAAGTACCAGTCCCGCACCTTCGAGAGGACCATGGATACCCTGGTGCGTCGCGGAGATCATGTCATCATCAGCACTAGACTAACTTTAGACAGCTTTATAAACACCCTTCATAAAAAAAATGGTAATTATTCATACTTCGAGAAATTTTGCGTTTGGCCTCCATTCAGTTACATGAGGAAATATTGTAACCTTGTCAGATACACAAAAAGTTGTTAATAACTTTTGATACGGTCAATTTCTGATTGTGATAATTTCTTTATATGCTATTCGTTCTGATGTGGATAAACAAATGACATGTTCAATATCCTAATACTAATAGTGTTAATTTCTCGTATGTTGGGTGACAGGGAGATGCGACTTCTACAAGGTTGGTGAGGCCTTGTTTAGTCTGACCCACTGTATGATTGGCCAGAAGGGCAGCCCACTCATCCCTGTCATCAGCTCCAAGTAAGACAGGTGGCAGTTTCACAATTGTTGCTTATATATATATATATATATATATATATATATATATATATATATATATATATATATATATATATATATATATATAACGAAGAGGAGAACCAGGAAAAACACAAACATCTTGACTAAGTTGGGTTTCTAGGCTCTGATGATGGAAAATTATTTTTCCGAAACGTTATTAGTGATTAAAGAAACCCAACTTAGTCAAGATGTTTGTGTTTTCCCTGGTTCTCCTCTTTAGTTATGAAACTACGCTTTCCACGTAATCAACACCTCAACCCGCCAGGATTCGAACCCACGGCCCACTAACCCATGACTGTGACCGGGGAACTCTAGCCGCTGTACCACCAGGATATTAAAAGCAGTTTTAGACGTTGTTATATTTCACACAAAGCCTGTTCGACGAACTTATGGCGCCATAAGCTCTTCGAACAGGCTTTGTGTGAAATGTAACGAAGTTTAGGATGGTTTTTAGTATCCTGGTGGTCCAGCGGTTAGCTTTCCCCGGTCAGTCATGGGCTAGTGGGCCGTGTGTTCGAATCCTGGCGGGTTGAGGTGTTGATTGTATGTAGAAATCCGCGTGCTATTGGGCTAATGAAACATATATATATATATTATCATTTTTTTTTATGGGGATTAGCCCACCTGGCCATCAGGGCCTGGGGGCGAAAATAATATTAATAATAATAATAATAATAATAATAATAACAATGATAATAATAATAATAATAATAATAGCAATAATTAATAAAAATGAATAAAAATAATAATAATAACAATAATAATAATAATAATAATAATAATAATAATAATAATAATAATAATAATAAAAATAATAATAATATTAATACAGTAATAATAAATAAATAAATACAAAAATTATAAAATAAGTCAAGAGTGAGAAACTATGTACAGTATGTACTGTATATTGTGTTGTCAATAGTAAGAGAGAAAATTGAGACTGTAGGGTATTCGTGGTATAATGTTGTCTAGCACTCAGGATGGATGGAAACTCTAAGGTGGTTTTCTTGTATAATATAAGTTATATGATAGACAGTCTGGTGCTGGAGGTGCCGTGAGGTGAGGAGCTGCTCAGTAGAGACATTCGGTGAGTAGCGTGTTGAAGGAGGTAGATGTGCAGGAGCTTCGTTAGAGATGTTGCCTGTTGCTGGCCTCCTGGTTGAATGAAAGCTGGACAGCGTGGAGCTTGCTGGAGGAGGTGTTGCGTGTTCAGGAAGATGGGCCAGAATGAATCTCAATGGAGAGACAGAGCTTATATACCCAGCAGCCGTGAGTCATCTATGAGTCATGTTGGGAAAACCCGAGAAAGTCGCCGGTCTTTGGTTCCGTTGCTAAGATACGGTGGCATCTGGTGACGCCGCTCGCTTGCCGCTAGTTTGGTTGCTAGGGAAGATGGTAGCAGCTGGTGGCTGCGGCTACGCAGTTGTAGGGGAGAAGTCCACTACAAGACCCTGCAATTGTGTGTTAATGAGGCAGAAAATCAGATCGGCAACTTGGGACTTGGTCACAATATAGTTTCAGATATTGTAAAAAAAAATCTGTCACATTGCATAATGACATCAAATTAATGCAGGTTTTCGTTGTATCAACCATAGTTTACAATTTTGGTGTGACATGTTTTTTTGCTTTAAGTCTGTTATAATATACAGGCGATTCTTGGTGTTGCAGGTTGCGGGGCCTCGTGGAGTCCGGCCTGTATGAGCATTGGGTGCTTCGCGGGATGCCTTTCCTTTCTTACTGTCACCTCACGCCCTCCAAAATTACCGTCAGGAAACCACTTGCATTGAGCAACATCTGGGTAAATGCCTTTTACTAAACTTACAAGTTATTTCTAAAACCCCTGAGGCCTGAAACGGCGTCTTCACTCTGAAAGCACTTCATATTACTGTAAATACATTGTCCCTAGATTTGAAAAATTATCAATGACTAGTGACTTCCCAATTACAGTATTATAAGAAAGTGTTATACTGTACTGTATTTCCTGCTTCAAAAATGAGATACGATATATTATGTCTGTCGCATAAATGTAGGATATAGCCTTCACTAATAGTGAAATAATCAACAGAACATGCAAATTAAATTGCACAATATTATGAACCCATTGACAGGTAGGATTATAACATTATTAGAACTCTACATGCTATCATGTCTATTTTCATATGACTTAACACAGTTTATATTTAGGGGATGTTGGTGGTGCTGGGCGCAGGACTTCTGCTGGCTCTGGTCACCTTATGTCTGGAAATTTACATCGACAAACTTGGTGGTGACGGAGCCTTGTAAACCTACCTGTATACACACCGTCACACCTCATCACACGGCACAATTGCGATATCTTAGCAACACGATCGATACACTGCATTTCTGTCCCAGCTCATTACTCATCACCCCTAATGGGGTTGTGCAATATCTGACAGGGAAGTTTTCGTGCTGATTAACATCACAGACGATTCTATGGCAAGTTTTCCTAATGACCATCGGCACACTGACGAGGCATTAGGAAGCTTTCCTTCTGATCTTCACCACTAATGATAAGGATATAAAAGCTTCCTCCTTATGTTTACCACCGCAACTAATGATTTTACGGGAAGAAGTCCAACTGATTACCAACACCAATGGCGATAACTAGGTTTATGTGCTTTTACTTGCTTAGGGCTGTCCGTCATAGCCGACGACGACTCTGCTTCACTATGAAATCGATGATGATGAGTGGTGAACTAGGGATTTTGTCGGCTGTGGAGTCCGATCCTTGACCTGCAGACTCTATCGCACATTGGGCAGCAGGATAGCTCCGGGTTGGGTGAGAGCAATCTCGAGATGTTTGATTGCCTTGGGTAAAAGTGGAGCGCCGTAGACTTCGGTTGGATGCAATAGTCTCAAGATCGTGCACACAGCATATATATATATATATATATATATATATATATATATATATATATATATATATATATATATATATATATATATATATATATATATTATAACGATGAGAAACATGTTTTGGATTGCACTCTCAGTATACTAATGTGTAATTAGTAAATGTATACGAAATGCAATTGTGTTTGAATAACCCGAAAAATATCGATACATTTTCTACTACACAAGATCTCTAAGGTGTAGCTAGTTGAATGTATACAAGAATAACATCTAACATAAAACATATTATTGTAATATATATGAACTAATTTATGTTAAATTATTGCAATAAAAACAAATTGATATCCTAGTTTGCCAAAACGGCAGTTGCGTTTGAAGGATTAGTTGGCAATTATCCCCAGTTAATGATATATACAGGGTGTATCATAAAGAGAGCACCAAAATAATTATTATTATTTTTTGGGGGTTTTTTTATTTTTTATTTTTTTTAGGTGAGCGCATCATCACAATTCAACAAAGATTATGCAATGAGGAAATACCGAATGGCCACTGAGGTCTCCAAACCTTATATATATATATCGATTTCTTCCTTAACTTGGATGATTTTTATTTATTTTGGTATTTATTGGTCACTCCCCTACATCCTTGTGTAAGGTGAAGCGCAGAAGCGTTTACAGCGCCCAACAGGGAAGCATGCTAAGTTCATGCTTCATGACTTAAGGGCGTAGAAGCATGAAGTCTCAAGGGAGTAGAAGCCTGGAGAGTCAATGGTGTATGTCATCAAGTTCCTGGAAGCTCCAACATCTCCCTGAATACGAATTAGCAACTTTCGACAGGTACCTACTTTACTGCTCGGTGAACAGGGATTAATGGGGGCTAGGAAGCAAGTCCAAACAACTTCCACCGGCCCGGGAATCGAACCCGTGACAATTGGCTTGCGAGGCAAGAACGGTACCGCTTCTATCACCAGCGCCCATCAATGAAAATATCAGATTTTAGGTGACCCTAGGGCAGGGGTCCACAACTCGTATATTTCCGGCCGCATGTGACAACAAAATTTATACTTGCGGCCAGCATATCGGCATCCAAAATATGTTAAGTGACCGACTACTAATTTGATAAAGTAAGTTAAGGCATTTCCCAGTACGTGCCAACAGTGCGTAACAGGGACGTGACCGATCGCCCAAGCGGCTAACGAGCCGATCAGTGGTGAAGAGGATAAAAGAAAGAAAAGAAAAAGAACACTTGATGCTGCAAACACCAAATCTGATAATCTCTGTAAGACTGGGAAACATTATACCTGACAGTTGACAGCACACACACACACACACACACACATCCAGTGTGGGGGGGGGGGTCCGGATCCTCTCTTTTTCATCAGAAAATTTCAATACTTTTCCTTTAATGCAGTACTGTATTGTACTCATGTGTTTTTGTATAGTAAAAAGTAATTACTATTGACCTCAGAATATCTCAGAATATCAACTGGGTATGGTTTCAAAATGACCTCAAAATGCCTATGATATTGACCAGATTTCCCAAAAAATTCTAGGGGGAGCTTATATCTCCCCCCCACCCCCCTCCACAAGCTGGATGGGCTCACTATGCTCGCCCTGTACCTCCACTCACAACTTCTTGCATACCCCCTTTTGATATTCCTGGATCCGCCCCGGACATACACACACAAACACAGGGACATAAAATGGTTACAACGATTACATTCGGAATTTACAGATAGTTTTTCTGAGATTCAGATTAAGAAAAATCTCATTTGTTTCAGATCGTTTTCTTTTTAAACAGACGCGGTTAGTCATTGTCAGCCATATGTTGAAGTGAAAAAATCTTGTTGATGCACAGCTGTAGCTCCTGGACCTGTAGTGGATTCCTCCCCTACAAGCAACGAACCTTCTCGAATTCCCCAGCCTACGCCTCCAGCGCCGCCCACGGAGCAGGGGTCAACTATCTACCCACGCCTACCCCTCCCTTATAAGACCTGACACCGCTGTGACCCAAGGTAGGTATCTACCTACCTTGGCTGTGACCAGCCTCTTTCTACCCTGTGCCACCAGCAAACAATACCTCCTCCTCCGCGCCAGCCTGGCGGCTCCCGCACCCTCGCCACCTTGGCATCCCTCAAGCCGCGTGCTCCTCTGGGCACCCTCACCAACCAGCTCTCTCCTACTCAACGTTTGTTACCATGCTGTCTACCCAGCAACAAGCTGCATTGTACATCCAATACAATATGTATACAGTGAGCACATTGTGAGTTTCCTTTCTCCATCCCATCCTGATTGTGAACCAATATCTCATAACACCACAAATGGTGACCCCCCGGAGATTCGCACTCACACAGGATGGAGGAGAAACTAATCACTCTCCCAGTCTTCAAGCAACAAGGAAGACTGGCTTACCCACACAGAGGTAACTCTCATTGGCTCTACAACTACTGTCTCTACACCGCAGGTTAGACACCCTAGAGCAGTTCTGCTACTCTAAGCAGACAGCCGCTCCTCTTCCTGCCCCAAGCAACACGTCCTACCGACCCCAACACACCTGTCCTGCCTCAGACGCCGCCTCTGGCCCAGCAGTACCCCCTGCCGCTCCTACTGACGCGGCCCCTGCTCCTGACGCGGACCCACACACCCCTCTTTTCTCCCTCAGGTACCTCCTGCTACTGTCCTGCACCCTGCTGCTGTCGTGGACCCTGCTGTTGTCATGCACCCTGCTGCTGTCATGGACCCTCTTCCTGCTGATGCAGACCCTGCTCCTGACCCAGGCCCACACACCCCAGCAGGCGCATCTGAGGACTCTTTACCTGTCACGAGTGAAGCACAACATTCATCGCCTCCACAACCCTCCTCCCTCTTTTCTCCCACAGATCTCGTGTATCTAGACAGAGTTGCCCCCCCCCCCTAGCGGTCGGCTCATCCACGCCCTCGCCGTTTTGTCTCACATGTGGCATGCACCGCCCGTCTGCCTCACATGTGGCACGCAACACTGCCAACCTCCAGCCTCCCGACTCGCCCGGAGGGGAAGGGGAGCATTGAAGTGGATTCCTCCCCTACAAGCACCGAACCTTCTCGAATTCCCCAACCTACGCCTCCAGCGCCGCCCACGGAGCAGGGATCAACTATCTACCCACGCCTACCCCCACCTTATAAGACCTGACACCGCTGTGACCAGCCTCTTTCTACCCAGTGCCACCAGCAAACAATACCTCCTCCTCCGCGCCAGCCTGGCGGCTCCCGCACCCTCGCCACCTTGGCATCCCTCAAGCCGCGTGCTCCTCTGGGCACCCTCACCAACCAGCTCTCTCCTACTCAACGCTTGTTACCATGCTGCCTACCCAGCAACAAGCTGCATTGTACTGTAGTGGATTCCTCCCCTACAAGCACCGAACCTTCTCGAATTCCCCAGCCTACGCCTCCAGCGCCGCCCACGGAGAGGTGGTCAACTATCTACCCACGTCTACCTCCGCCTTATAAGGCCTGACACCGCTGTGACCAGTCTCTTTCTACACAGTGCCACCAGCAAGCAACACCTCCTCCGCGCCAGCCTTGTGGCTGCCGCTCCCGCCAGCGACCTTGGTGTCCCTCAAGCTGCTTGCCCTCACTCTGGGCACCCTCACCACCCAGCTCTCTCTACTCAACTCTTATTACCATTCTACCTACCCAGCAACAAGCTGCATTGTACATCCAATACAATATGTATACAGTGAGCACATTGTGAGTTTCCTTTCTCCATCCCATCCTGAGTGTGAACCAATATCTCATAACCCCACAGACCTGCTGCAGATTAATATCCGAAAACACACTCACAAAACCACAGTCATTGATGAAATTTTGAAGAAAAAACAGTGCAACAAATAACACTGAAACAAGTAGATTTCATAGTGTTTTCAATGTTTGGAGCAACCTACTGTTGCCAGCACATTTTAGTATAAGACCAATTATTATTGTTCTGCACAATTCTCACTAATACTCACAAACTGAAATTTGTTGAAGCATCTTTTACTAAATTTGAACAAGATTTAAAAAAAAATTACGGAGGATCGGCCTAAATTCAGTTTCAAATTTTATGAGTCAATATTATCTATTCCCTTTAAGTTGTTGAATGTGAAACATAATTTTCTGTATATTTATTACCACCCATTTGGTTATTTAAATTGTTGTTCCTTTTTTTTATCTGAATACATATGGTTTAGTTTTATATTGCTAGACTCCTGCCCTATCCAAGAGTCCCTACCCTACCCTAGGGTAGGGCCTAGACTCTAGAGCAGGGGTTCTCAACCAGGGGGGAATTCCCCCCAGGGGGGGAATTCAGGTTTTCAAGGGGGGGGGGTAACTGATTCGGGAGCAAGAGATATGTTCGATGAGAAATCAATCACAGAATTTTGGCCCTTGATGTGCGATTCCTACCCAAAAGTGGCAGAAAGAGCTATCAGTGCATTGCTTCCGTTTGTGTCGACATATCTTTGTGAGTCAGGCTTTTCAACTCTGTTGCAAATTTAAACGAAGCAACGTAGTAGATTAGAGGTAGAAAATGACCTGCGTTGTGCCCTTTAAGCACTCCTCCGCGTATCCCAGAATTGGCGAAGAAAAAACAATCACAGGTTTCTCATTGACTGTAATCTTCATCTGAATAAAATTAATTACAAATTTACAATATCCTGGTATTCTATTGAACTTTTTGTTTATTGCATTATGCTTCAGTTTGGTCTGTTAAGTAATTCATTATAAATATAAAAAAACTATTTTACTTTTATTCAAGTTTTATAAATCCATCAACATTTTCAATTGGCATTTAATTTGTAAAACTCCACTATAAAAATAATCCATGTAAAATTGTAAATGTATATGTACTAATATGGAAAAAATAAAGGATTTTCAGTATTATATGCATATTATTTGGAATGCACTTTTTGAGGCAGACAATCTTGGAAAGGAGGGGGAATGACATTGACATATGGTGAAAGGGGTGCATGGGGCAACAAGGTTAAGAACCACTGGTCTAGAGTCTAGGGCCTAGAGGAAGACATCTAGAAGTGAGTTGATGGTCATTTGATTGGTCCTCGTCGCCAAATCTTCGTTGCTTTTATAATTGCATCTACTTGGTATTGGTAATTATTGATGACTGACCCGCCGCTGATTTCTCAAAGAAAACAATTTAAAAAATTTACAAACGCCGCAATTTTACAATGTTTTGTTGTGTTAATCCGGATTTATGAGGTGTACATGACGTCGGCCAGCACGCGACAGCCGAGCCGACTCAATCATTTGAAGTTGAACCTTGTTGTGTTGTGGCCAGTGAACACGGCTGACTGGTCTGAGGGTGACGGATATACGAAGACTGGCAAATAAATACTCAAGATGTCAGATTTGGCGTCCCCAAGGTCGCCTGGATCTGGCGACTTTCCCCATGACGAATTTGACTACGATGACGACAACGATGCAGATTTTGAAGACTCCCGAGATTATGACGACAGAGAGAGTGACGACGGTGAGCTTTCTTGTCCACAAACTACTTTTATTATTAGTTAACCACTTGTGTACGTGATCCCCTGTGTGCTGAATAAAATCGCATGGCATTAGCCAAATAAATTGTTGACAGTGACTTCTCTGTAGTGAAGAGGTGAATGATTTGACATTGAGACTTAAACTAATATATATATATTGGATGCGTATTTGGTAGTCTAGGAGAGATTGTGGGGTTAAACAGCTACCTAATGAAAAATTTATATAAGAATGGATATGTATTGGTAAAGGTGGAGGACACCGTTAGCATCAGAAATAACTTATGGAATTGAAGCAAAGTTTCTGGAGATCCTTTTTGTATGATACTGAACACGAAAATGGAAGTGAGTGCACAAAACCTATTAAAACCTGACCTAACTGTACCTAACCTCACTTACCATACCTAACCTCAACTAACTGATTAACCTGTGTGTTATAGTTTCGATTTTCTTACTATCATCCAAACAACGTCTCTTGAAAAATTAACGATTTCAGTCCAATACAAATCGTAAGAAATGCGCCTGATGAGATTGTCATTGGTTTTTTTTTTTACATGTAAGCAAACACCGTGGATGATCTCACATAGCAGATGATGTGAACCAAAACATGGCGCCATATTTACAAAAAAAAAAAATTATTTATTCATCTAGAAAAGACAGAGATGTGAAATTACTGCCAGATGATAAGCATTATTCCCCTTTTCTTTCATGCCCTGCCTACTAACAAGTAATTTATTTCTGAAAGATGTGCTAAAAAGAAAATAAAGGTCAATATTGTGAAAATGACACCAGGCAAATGAATATTAAAAATAGGTTTTTCTAGTGTAAATCATCGTGTTAAATACAAATATGACCTTCATTGATGTAAAAAAATGAGCAGTAGTTGAAATATTGGAAAAAAAAAGTGGAAGTTCAACAATGTAAAAACCTAAAAAAAAAAAATTAAAACCTAACCTAACCTAACCCCTAGTGCATAAGAAATTTACCTTAAGCAAGAAATATAGGAGGATAGGGTGATGCGACTATCAATGAGTAAGTGGTCGTCAGTGTCTGTCTCTTATCACAGTACCATGCATGTGATCTACACAGTATTGACACTCGGAATTACATCTCGGACACCTTACAGATGAAATAAAAACACTGTGAAGCCTAAAAATGACAACGGTTGCTGCTTCATTGTTCAAAATGTACTGAATAATACGGCAGCCAGCCAAGGTACATCCATCTTACACTGGCGCCTTCTTCCAACTGGCCGCCAACACTGATTAGTGCACGAGTATTATGTCACAGCACTCATGCTGATTGGTGCGCATGACTATAACGTCACATTAACACTCACACTGATTGGCCAAATATTATACTTTACTTTTACTCAAAAATTATAAATTTCCGACAAACGTTATATAATAAATTATTTGTATTTATTTTTTCTCTATCTCCCCATGTATGACTCAATATTGAGTTGCCTGGTGTCATTTTCTAAATATTGACCAAAATAGATATTACAATGTTGTTGCCTCAATTTTATTACTCCGTGTCATCCACACATCATCTGAAAACTTGGTGCAATTCCATAAAGTCCTTTTGTTGCCAATGGTCTCCACCTTTACCTAATTTTTTTTTTATAGTTTTTCTTCTGCAAGTTTCACACAACACGGGAATCTTAGGAATTTTATCTTTGCAATCAATAGTTTAGACAATTCTAAGACATTTCTTCTATGATGTTTCTCTCACAAATGACCTATACAGTATATGCCAGAGGGGGTCCAGATGGGACACAGGCCCCCAGTAAGGAGGTTAGGTTAGGTCATTTGCAAGGAAAACGTCATAGAAGAAAGGTATTTTAGAAATGTTTAAACTGTTGATCGCAAAGATAAAATACCTAAGATTCCTGTTGTTTTTGTTTTGTTTTTTCAAAAGTGAAAATATTTTTTTTTCTTTTTGTTATTCCTGTAATTGTTGTTCATACCCACATTGTATTTTGCTATTCAAGTGGTGAATTCGCAGAATCCAACATTAAAACTATAACTTTGAATGAGAAGTTTTTGGGGTGAGCAACAAAGCACCAATAGGTGCACACTAGTCTCACTTATCTGTACCAGTAAGTACCAAACATTGCAGAATTTCTTTGGGCATTCAGGTTTCCTCCTGTGCTAACACTGGACAGTAATGGTCATTACAAAAATACTGACCAACTGGCTAAATGAAGAGCAAACTGATGAGTTGCAAAATGATAAAGTAAAAAAAAAAATCTAATGTCTCTTCATTTTGCCATCTGATGGACCAGGATATCATTTAAGAAAAATTAAACTGGTACAATAAGAAATTGTTGTTGCATTTCCACGGCAAGGATGATATGATGACAATTGATTTCTGTAAAATTTTAACATAAAAATATGAAGTTCTCAAGACTTCACAAGCACTGGATTGAGGTTAATTGGAATTATAACTGAGAAACTGATGAAAATTATGGTTTGATAATTGTGGAAATGACAGAAAGCACCATGCATTCATTACAGTCAGCATCTGCCTAACTTTGATGTGTATATGTATGCTTGCAGATATTTACCCAGTATTCTTTTTAAGGATACCATATGTACAATCGTATGGCCACCAGACAACAGATAGATAACCCAAGCAGCTAACAAACTGATCAGTGGGGAAGAGGATAGAGTAAACCATACAGGAAATGGGCACATTCACAGATAGAAGGGGACTGCTTATTTAGTATCCTTGATCTGGTTACTATAATAATAATAATAAGTAAACGGTTTATTAATAGAGTTGCAGCCGGTGGCTGAAAATATACAAACTTACATGTGACTTAGAAATAATGATATGCATTCAATAAATTTACAGGGCTGTACAGTACATAAATCAGTTGTTTATTTAACAATAGATGGGATGGTGCTATTCTTTTATCTATCAGTGCGGGCTCTTATGGGCTGAATTTTTTTGTAGTGGCGGACTGCGCAAGGTGGACGGGGGACTGCCGGTGGCAGGAGGTGGCGATGATGAGGATGGTGCAGTAGTCCACTGTCAAACCTTGCTAGTGCTTGGTGGTGGAGGTCACTGAGGGATGGTATTTCCAGGGTGGAGAGAGCATTGTTGTAACCGGAGTAGTCTGCACCGAGCATGATTCTGCAGGCCCTTTTCTGTACCTTCTCTAGCTGACGTTGTTGGGTAGAGTTGAGAGAAGACGACCAGGCTGGTGACGCATACGTTAATTTGGGGAGAATAAAGGCGTTGTAGATAGTCCTCAGCTCTGGCGTGGGTGCCCCAAGTGACCTGAGTCGTCGTAGCATGTAGAGGCTAGTTCTGCACATTCTACTAGTTTTACTGCAATGTAAACAAACAGTGATGCCACATCACACAAAACACGCCAGCCGCTGTACCTGTTTTAAAGGGAGGCAACTGTACATTGCACCCATGCTGGAGCCATGGTCACAGCTTGCTGTATTTTGTATTGTGATCAAATATCTGAAATCCTTACAATATTGTATAGTACTAAGAACTTAAAGAGAAGGGAAAGCTGGGTGCTGTTGCATCTGATATTAAGAAGAATAGGCTTGATATTACTCTTGATGAGAAAATTATAATGGTAAATACCCTGTATTCAGTAGTGACCAAGCGAGGAACTTTATAGTGATTTATTTTAAGAACGATAGAGCAAACACAGAAATAACTAGTATAGCATTTTCATTGGAAATTAATACTGTATACAGTATATCTATATTTTTTTTAATCTTTTACTTTTCGATTTCACTTAAAAATTTCAATTTTGATCATACAAAGTGTGCAGGGCTTTGAAGTAGAGGGATATTGTGGGTTAGAAACATGCAGATACACTGATGAAAACAAACTTAACGAATCCTAACCTAACCTAATTGCAGGTATGGGACCGTTTATCCGGCATCTCGGTATCCGGAACGGTCCAAAAACCAGCTATATTCTGGAACATATTCCCGGGCCAAGCAGGGATATTTCCAACCGTTCCCCACCTGCGAGCTGTATGTTATACTATGCTTATTTTTCAATTCATAATTTTGGGTAGATATATGTAATTTTCTTGTTTTTCTTTACTCAGTTACATACACACACACACACAATTCTACATACAGAAAGTGCAAAAATAAGTAATTATAATAAGGTATAAAGGTTTACGTCTCTACGGGTTTCCACCGTCAAGCCGTATTGGGAGTGTGTGGAAGTCAGAGGGTCTGTGGTAGAGCACTGTTGCTAAGGCGAGATCAGGGGCGACTGCAATATGGCGTGTACGTTAACTTGTTATCATCTTTGCTTATTTTATGCTTTCATTATTATTTTACTGTATTTCTATACTTTCATTATTGTTTTTTATATGCCTACCATTTAAGGGCTGAATCTAGTGATATGAGTAAAGGCTTCACAGCTAGTTACAGAAGGTTTATTGTACGTTTTAGGCCTGGCGCTCCAAATTCCGGAGAAAAAAGCAATCAGTCAATTCCCAGGTCCCAAGCATGCTGGATAAATGATGCCATACCTGTACTGTATTACAGAAAACTTAAAAAAGTGTAGTACTGTATATAATATCTAAGAATAGGTCACTGTGTTAAGGAGCCGAGATAGCAAACTTTTCAGTAAAAAAATATTCTTCAGTTTATCAAGAACGTCCCAAAAATGGTGGAAGAAATAAATTTTTGACAACAAAAAGATCAACAACAACTAAACGTAATGACTCACATATTGGTACTGTATACAATACATGCCTAACCTAACCTAACCAAACCTGACACTCCCTGGTGTGTAAATTTAACCAAACTCAATAAGATAAATAAAAAAATAAGGATCCTAGAGAACCAAACCTGAAATTGAAGTAAGAAAAAAAAAAAATAAATAAATAAATAAATATATATATATATATATATATATATATATATATATATATATATATATATATATATATATATATATATATATATATATATATATATATATATATATATATATATATATATATATATACTGTACCCTGTATAATTGTATATATAAATTTCCAACTAAAATGCTATAGAGTAAAGTATATACAGTATTATATTTTTGGTTTATTTTCTGCTTTATCTCCCTATAACTCAATATATACTTCCATACCTGGGCACTACCGAACATTGACAATTAAAATAATGCCTTTCTAAATCCCTTGTGAGTGGCCCTTTTATCTCCAAGAATAAATTTCTTTCCTCGTCTGTAAAATACTTTTGTACAGGATGGTATTTCTATTATATAGGTACAGTTCTGTATACTGTAAGTGTTATTGTAACTGTTCTAAGTTTATCTGGTTATATTTCACTATTTTGTCATTATTAGAGGTAATTTTGGGTAAAAAATTAATGTCGCATAACACAATAATTGCAGTACAGTATTTGTGAAATCTGCGGTATATGTTGTGAAAACTTGATACATGAAGGTTTAAAAAAAATGAAATTGGAGAGTGTACAATTGAGAAGCCTTAAAAAAACAAAAAAAAATGTGGACACATCATGGGTGGCAAGTTATAAGTCAGTGAAGTGAGGCAGAGTGTAATGGACAACTGCCGAGTGCTGCTTGTGTAGGTGGTGAGCCAGGCTGTGGTGGTGTGGGTGAGGGGCCCACTGAGGGTAGAAGGATGGTGATGAGGAATAAAAAATAACAAATCATTCCAAGATGATGATAGCAAGCTGATTCTGAGGCTCTACCATCCTTGTGTCTCACTCTAGAGTGTATCAGTCATCGACTTTCTATTCTTAGTATGATTTTTGGCACAGCTTTAAATTCGTGGCTCCATATGCTAATCATCTTAAGATGACAATAGTGATTTTACACTAAATCATCTGAAGATGATGATAGCAGTTAAAGGGATAATGTACAGTCTCGTTCAAGATTCTTCGAACACTGCTGGAGACAGCTGGCAACTCAAGACCGTTTGTTTACTATAGTACGTCGTAAAAATTATGAATAAATGTAAAAGTGATCGGTGATTGGTTACTTAGTTCCCCGTTGCTTAATTTACTGGTTGGACTTTGTTTTTTCGTATTATATTATACTACGTACTATCGTAAACAAACAGTCTTGAGTTGCCAGCTGTCTCCAGCAGTGTTCAAAGAATCTTGAACGAGACTATACATACAGTTAACTTACAGGTTTTCAGGAATGTATGATTTACCTGAGGTGGGCACTGTCCATACTAGATTTGTTAGAATCATATTGAAGATTGAAACAGATTTAACCAGGTCATTAAAAGTAAATTGTAGCTAAGGTACAGTACTGTGACTTATATTCATTACAGATACTGACTTGGGAAGTGAAGGAGAAACAAGAGGGAAAGAAGAATATGCTGGTATTAAGGAACAGTAAGTATTTTACACCTTGCTGTGCTCTATATTGTAATTTAGATATCAGGAAGTGTAATACATTACACTGTAGTTTCTTAAGATATGGGACACAAAGAATAAGAGCTAATTCTGCTTTCTTCCTTCAGGAAGTTTATTTTATAGTAATAATCATTCACCACTCACTTTACAACATTTAGAAAACCAATTAACCCTCAATCCCCGGGTTAGGGTGCTGGTGGCAATGCCCTTCACCCAGGGGTAAATCGAGAAAAATCTACTTTCCAAAAATAATTTTTAACCTTTTAAAATGATAAAACAAGAAAGAAAAACTATATATTGACCCTCTAGAGACTTCCCTGGCTGTGCGGAGGGAGGAGGGAGGGGAGATAAGGAGACAGTGTTGGTTTGACAGCTGATGCTCGTGGTTCCTCCGCACTTAGCAGCTATTTTTAGCTCACCTTTGTGTCCGAGGTGGCCAATAATGAAAATATTTGCTGATCTTAATACTTAATTTCTATAAATAATTAATTTAAAATATTTTATTTGCATAATTTTTCATAAAAAAGAGCTTCGCAATACTCACCAGTCAGTTGCCAGTCTACCTGGCTGTCTTTGTGTTTGGTAGAGCAAGTAATTCATAAAATAATAATAATTCCACAAATAAATACATTTATAACATAATCATAGCATTGTTTTACAGTAATACTACCCTACGATACAACTACACTCCTTTTAGCAATATTACTTTGATACAACATAATAAAATAGACAAACAATGAAAATGAAACAAACAAAAGGAGGTAATTATGTTCAGGAAGCTTCCCTGTGGCTGAGCATGTGGTGTGAGAGGCAAATAGTCACACTGGAACCTGATAACCCGCACTGGGCATTTAAACAGTGGCGGGAATAGTCGCGCGTTCTGGAATGTCACCCTGGGCCTAAGGGTTAAAGTTCATTTCATTTTCATCTTTTTAAATAATTCATGGCACTAAAATATTATTTTAACAAGTACAGTAGCTTACAAATTTAATTTGGCATATATATTTTAAGAAGGGAAAATTATATTGGGAATGTTAGTACAGTACTGTACTGTATAGTGTGAACTAGTTATCATATTCAGCTGGTGATCTATAACCTGGTTAGACTTTCTACAAAGGAGGCTGTGTTTGGCTTATATAGCACAGTATCTGGTATGAGCTAAAACATAACTACATACTGTACCTGTATACCATATTCCCATTGGCTTGTTTTAAAAATACAGCTTGTCCAGAAATATCCAGACTGACCAATAGGGGATAATACAGTACTGTACTGTATACAACATATATCTAGGTTGAATTTGCCTGTGATGTATGAAACTACATGTCTTGGATTGCCTCTTAACATTCATTACGTGAACCTCACTGTGGCTTTGGTATCTCCTTTTCTTGTTAATCCAACATTTAGAAAATATTAGAGCAGGAAAGAAATGATACAATGAAAATACTGTGTTAGTGATTGATTAAGGCAAGAAAGGAATTATTATAAAGAAAGCACTGTGTTTGAGAATATTGTGCATGATCGATTAAAGGAAGGAAGGAAGGAAGGAATTACTGTATAATGTGAATTTGAGCTAAAAAAAGGATATACCCTGTACTGTACAGTATAAGGGGTAATATAACTGACTTACCTGCCTACTCTATACTTTACTGTATATAGGCTGAAGTTCTTGAGATTTAAATTATGAATACTGTACCTTCATCTATTGTTTACTGTAAAACAACCTCTGTAATTTTTTATGATTATTCAGGATGTACCAGGACAAGCTCGCTCAACTAAAAAAACAACTGCAGCAGTTGCGTGACAGCAGTCATCCAGAATACAACAAGAAACTAAAGAAGATTGATGCAGCTTACAAAGAAAGGTATGTTTGTTACTTACAACTATATGGCAATTCATTTTCATGTCAAAATATTTTGGCATTTGGTTAAATGTAGGAAAAGGGCACATTTTCCATTAATTATTGTTTACTACTACTGTACGTATTTTCTACGAAAGCCCCATTATTTTATTATCATGAACTTAACATGATAGTGATACTGAAGGCTTCGAGGGGATAAGCTAGGAGATGCATCATCCTATCACAAGTATCCCATGCAGTCACATGACAGCATTAGCCATTCGCAGTGCATGAGCCTAGGCCCAAGTTACCCAAATGGTCTTCCCATCCACACACCCAACATGTGAGAATGCTGCTGAGCATAATGCAATCTTGTGTCACTCCTGGAACCTTTATCCCCAGGCCCGAAGCAGAAAGGTTTGGAGAGATTATCTCAAAAAAATTTCAGAAATTGTGCCATGTTGCATCCTTGGAATTTGTTCCCAGACCCAGAAAAAATATTTGGAGAGGTTTTCCAGAATTTTCTTGGAATCTTTCCGGAAAATGTGACTGATTTTCAACCTCGGAAACTCGTTCGCAGACCCAGAATTGAGAAAAGTTTCTGGAAAAATTCCGAGCCGATTTCAATTACAGTTAATGGAGAGTTCTGGGGATTCCAGCTAATGGGGAGATTACTGCAAATTAATATTTTTGTTCTATATAAACCTACTAGAAAAGATATTAAGATAGATATAAAGCTATACAGTGTTTTGAAATCTGATTATGGTTGTCCTAAACACATAATGAAAGTGTACATCCTCACCATTGGGCTAACATGTGTTTGTACTGTTGGTATTATATTACCATGTTTTTGAATGTATGGACAGGGAAATCCCATTCTGGCCTCATGATATGGACGTGTAAGAGTGTGTTAATTTGATATACAGTTGTACCCCGCTTTACGTGGTCAATTGAACCCACAGGGTACCGCGTTAAGTGAAAACCGCGTTAAGTGAACAACAGAACATATGGGATTAATTCCAATAGAGACTGGCCCGACCCCCAAACTCCACTTTTTGACGACACACAACTATGTTGTAGTAAAAATTTTATCTTAACTTTATGATGGTATGAACAAGCAAGTAATATAGAAGAGGTTAGGTTAGGAAAAATAAAGGTTAAGTTGGGGAAAATAAAGGTTAGGTTAGGAAAACTAAAAGTTAGGTGTAACACTTACGTTAGTAGAAGAGATGGGTCGGCATACGGGGATGGAGGCTGGTTCCGAGGCAGAGGGCAGATTACTGGCCCTCAAGTGAATCACCATTACTAGGTGCATCACCATCACTATCAGTTACAGTTGTCAGGGCTTCCCTGACAAATCCCTCAAAGTCACCTTCACTGTCACTATCACTGGTTCTGGCTGGCAGTGGTGGGTTGCGGGCGAAGAACTCGGTAATGCTTTTTTGACGGCTAGTGTTAATGTTGTCTTGATACACCTTGATGTACGGCTCCATAGCCTGCACCAGCCGGGTATGGAAGACTTCATAGCGGTCATCGTCATTGTCGCGGGAAAGGAAGGACTTCATTTTTTCTGCACACTCCATGGCACCCTTATTATCACTGACTTAACTAGTGTTCTTCGGAGAATGACGCACCTTCTTCCTCTTCACTGACGTGATCATCTTCCAACATCTCGTCGGCAGTCACTTCAGGATCTCTGATCACATCCAGGATGTCTTCGTTGGTGGTCTCGGAGAAGCCTTCAGCTGTAATATTGTGCGCAGCTTCTCTGGCAAGGTCCACTGCTACTGCAACAGTCTGAACCTTACCAGTCACAGGTTGACTCCTCCTCTCAGCTGGTATGCCATGCAACACACGTCTCCATGCGTGACGAATCGTAGCAATAGACAGCTGATCCCATGCCTCCACCAAGAAGTCTACAGCTTGTTTGACGTTAAACTTCTTCCAAAACTGTTTGACGAGAACTTCTTGAGTCGCCACCTCTTGTTCCTTGTCCTCGTCGCTTTTACTCTCGCTGTCGGTGTCACCCAGCTTACGCAACTCATCCTTGGTGTTGGTAGAGTCGTTCAGGAGCTTGAACTTCTTTGCAGAGTATGCAGCTTTCACATTGCAGATCAACTCCTGGTCCATGGGCTGGATTAATGACGTAGTGTTGGGAGGAAGGAAGACCACTTTTACGTTAGGGTGACGATCCATAAGTAGGGGCGAGTGTCCAGGTGTGTTGTCAATGAGCAACAAAATGTTGAATGGAACATTCTGTTGCTCGCAGAATTTCTTCACGTCGGGAACAAAACAGTCGTCAAACCAGAAGAGGGACAGAGAAGAGAACATCCACGCCTTACGTGCGGTTAGCCAGTGGACATTAAGCTTGTTCATGTCCATATTCTTGTAGGCGTGCAGCTTGCGGGCTGTGTGAATCACCGATAACTTTGGTTTACAGGTACCGGAGGCATTGGTGGTAAAGAGGACGGTGATGCGTTCCTTCTGCAAATTCCGACCCCTTACCTTGCTGGCAGACTGGACAACGAAGGTCTTGGAAGGTAGCTTTTTCCAGAAAAGACCAGATTCGTCCATGTTAAACACCTGGTCGTCAGTGTACTGTCCTTCATCCATAACCTCACGTAAGAACGGAGGAAAATCTCTAGCCGCCACACGGTCAGCACTCGCTTCCTCACCACCAATGTTGATGTTGGTGATCTTGTTCCTCTTCTTAAACCTATGCAGCCAACCAGAGGAAGCATTGAAGGGTTTGAGCTCTGCAATTCCCAGCTTGCGTGACACTGCTGTGTAAAGTTCACGTGCGTACTCCTGCACTGAGCTCGTGTCGACCGCCATGTTCCGTCTTGCCTGACGAATCAAGTAACTCACCAGCAAATTTTCCACCTTTACCAGCACCCTGTTCTGGCAACACTTGATCATTGAAGCACCTGCAGACTTTGTGATTTTCATGTGTTCTTTAATCTTGGCTGCATCCTTCTTAATAGTACGAATCGTAGATTCGTTGACGCCATGCTGGCGCGCGAGATCAGCTTGACGTGTTCCTTTCTCCAAATCTTGAATGATCTGGTATTTCACTTCGTAGCTTAGGGCACGGCGTGTCTTCTTGGGCTTAGGGCGGCTGGGTCCAGGTAAGGAAAGGTTTCTCTGGTGGCGGTGGTGGTCCGGCGGAAGCCATTTCACAGAACAGTGGATGCACGTATACACGGGGTGACCTGGAGGGATGAAACTAGCGCGGCAGCGTCCTCTTTCCTCCCTCTCTCCCTCCCTGGGTGGACACGTCATATTACTTTAAACCAATTACAGTTAGCAGCAGAGGGGGGTAGGGATGCATGGCCAATCACAGTCTGATATGTCATATGACGTCAGTGATAACGCAACAAAGAGACACACTGCACAACCTTACAGCGCGGCTTGCCCAAGCGGAGGGGGGAGGGAGGGTGGCGGGTGGGGCGAATCTAAAAATAGCGTCTCGAGCCGGACACTCTGCGCGTACATGGGTAGATGAACCGCGTTAAGTGAAAGTTCGGTTCTGGCGAGGCACCGCGTATGTGAGAAATCGCGTTAAGTGAAACCGCGTAAAGCGGGGTACAACTGTACTACTTAACAGCCAGATATGTAGTACATTACTACTACCTACAGTAATAACCCGGTTAGTGCTCAGGATACATTCCTGGAAAATGGAGCACTATCTGAAATAGCACTGTAAGGGCTCATTATGCCATTGAATATATGGAGATGCATTGCAGATGACGTTATTTTTTACCGATGGGATATATACATACAGTATTGTACAGGAATGTAAAGAGTACAGGTATTAATAAACACGGATTATTACAGTAACCTATCATTAATAATTAATGAATAACAAATAAGCAATATTATATCATAAGTGACAGTCACTTGGTGAATAGTGACGGTTGTAGTAGAATGAGAGAGATGGGTAGTGTGTCAGTAAGATGCAGTGGGTGGGAGGGAGGGAGGGAGGAAGGAAGGTGTGAGACAGTGGATATCGTGCAACTCTGCTCTGGCTGAAGCTAATCCATCTCTGCATCACTAAAATTATGATTTAGGTGGTGACAATATAGGTAGTGGTGGTGAGAGAGATTTGGTAAGTAGTGATGAGGTGATGCATCTGTCGATTTCTTTAGTAACATTGCACCCTCAGTACTGCGTGACACTATTGAACAGCTGATATTTACCCCAAAAATTTAGTGTAAGTATAAATGAGCCATGTTGTATCCCTTCAACATTACTTTACATAACATTTTAAAATATGGAGTGAGAAAGCAGAAAGGTTTGAGTGATAAGAGAGGTGGAGTGGAAGGGAGTGGTAACACACACTGGGTGTGTTGCCAAGTGCTCCTCAACAACTGACGTTCATCCCTCCACTAAACACTTGTGCTTCAGTTAACCACACACAAATTTATGCCATACAATCCACTGTAGTTGTGGGTACTTAGCAACAAAGCACTAAACCAGCAACACATCACAACAGTGGTGGGAGACATGGCTAATAAAAAAGTCACAATAATACAAAAAATTCGGCGAGTCAACAAGAATGTGTCTACAGTGTAAGCTTGACAAAATTTGTACTGTACTGTAAACAGAAAGCACTCAGCACTGATTGGCCGAGTGTTCAGACTCATGACTTTTGGCAATTATGGATTTTTATTATTATTATTTTTTTCCCCTAGAGCTCCAAGATGCAAACAAGAGCGCTATAATGAAACAGCTCTCTACATGGTAGCACTAATTTTACAGTTTGTTAACTAGAACTAAACTTAGAGAATGTTTTATGTCATTTGTTCCACTGTGTGTTATGAAAACCATTCACCTGTAATTGTCGTGCCAGGTGGTTCTCTTGAACATTAGAAAGAAGCTGGTAAAACATTCCAGGAGAAAGAAAAGTGTGGGGTATTAACTTGAATGCACCTCAAATAGAGAACATAGGATTTTATAGTGTGCCTCTATTTTTATTTAATTGACTGTACAGTAGTACAGTAGTTTCAAATTCATAAAAGAATTTGGTTTATTTATGGTAGGGGACGAGAAAAAAAATTATGGGGGCAGCCTGGTCCTTGAAATTAGATCGTATGGTTCTCTTCCCCCTGTACATCCTTAGGTAAATTCTGGTTTGTTGCATCTTAAACACTGGTAATTGAAGTATGGTATTTGGCGAAGGTGCTACATGTGCCAAACCATGTTAAATTAATAAGGATGATGCAAGTTGTTACTGTGTGTTCACTGAAAATTTTTGTCTTTTAATAGACTAAGACTCAATGATTTATGGCGTGAAATCGAGACGGAATGGGTGGAACGTGACTATTTGGCTGAGAAGAGATTGGCCGCTCGAGAATTCGAAGAAAAGAAGAGAGAACTTAAAGAAAATTTGTTGATAGAACTTGAAGAGAAAAAGAAGATCATAGAGCAGGAAAGATACACACTTGAGCTTACCGGGGATTCAATGGAGGTTGGTTTTGATAATTAAGGATTTGTTTGTTGGATGTAAATGAATTTTGACTGCAATACTATACAAGCTTGATCAGTAACATAAGGATCTGCAGTACTATGGTAAGAGTCTACCGATGTAGACTATTAATTTATTGAATTTTAAGAATTTTATGAGATTTAGTGTTCTTGTTATATTGCTATAGAACAACTTATTCATTATAAATAAAAATACTCAATTCACCATAAGAATGAGATAGAAGAAGCACAGCTGTTATGAAGAAGGTAGCTATTAAATATTTATAAACATATATACAACAGAATAATAAGTTGAATTAATAATTAAACATTGACTTAAGAAATTTGTATTGGTGTGGGTATTTTTGCTAGTCTAAGTCTTTTCTGTTTACTTTACACATGTAATGCACCACTTCCACTTGCCATGTTTTTGTACCTCATGATCCTCCTTATGCAAAAGTAGCCAAGGAGTGAAAATAATGGAGAGGTAAAACAGTGGGACCAAGATATTTGGTATAGTGGTAAATCTTCCATAGATTGTTTTATTACTCTCCATAACAGTATAAACCAGTCTCAACTCGAAAGTTACGTCGACGAGGAAATGAACCTGCACCAATTATAGAGAAACGCCGCAAGCCAGTGTCAACAACTCTGCAGCTCTTGCTTGATGAAAGGGAGATGGATGATGATTTAAAACTCATCAACAAGAGCAAGCTGATGAATATGAAAAAAAGTAAGTAGATAAAAGTACTGTACTGTATATAATTTTAAAAGTTTTGAGTATGTGGTGTATATGGTGAATAATAGATGGCAAGTTGATTTACAATAATACAATGCAAAGTAGGAGTACAGGGGGGCCCTGAAATACGTTGGGGTTAGGTACCAAAGTCCCACTACTTAAAGCAAAGCTATGTTAAGTGGAGAATTTTCTCCATGCGAATACTGTACATATAAATACAGTAAAGGGGGATAGAGACTGTAAAGGTATTTTCGTTGCCGATGCAAAACAAAGCGGAACAATTTCTCCCAAAAGAATTACTGTAATGTAATAACGTATGAATAGGGGTTGGGTTCTTTAGTCATTTTCTACTAAGAGAAGAGAAAAAGTATTTGTTATATTATTAAGTAATGACTTAAATAGATCATTTCTGTTGTAAATACAAGTAGTTTTAATGTAAAAACAAGCTCATAACTGTAAATATTTTCAAAATAATCTTAGCCTATAACCTTTAACCTTCAAATTTATTTATTGAGGAGTGGATGAGTTCACCTTGTTTACTATGCTTTACAACATTCAACCTGATATTCAGTGTAATACTACTCATACACCTTTTCCCCTCACCACTTGCACTCTGCTTGTCACTTATTATTAAATTTTTGCAAGGATAAATCCAGATACAGTTGATACTGCATGTGAAGCTCAGCCACTACTCACAGCACAATAGAAAACAATGGGGCTGAGATTCAATTTCCGAAGTTGTTTATACTAAGTCAACCGAATCAAAAATTACGTTAGCACGGGGAATTTTTAAGTTATATTCCTCAATCAGTCAATAATGTATAGCGGGGCCCCCTGTATTTAAAATGGAATCACTTGATAACTTAGTTGTTGAGGTCTTGGATGTGACAGGAAACTGCATGTAATGAATAAAAGTTATTTATATACAGTGTAAATACAGTATAGCAATCTCAATTGAGATGTAGTCCTCTCACTTGTGAACAGCTCAAAGAACACACTTTAATCAAAGATGAAGCATATGGTCAGTAAGAATTTATTATAAATTCTCTTATTTGAGCTTGCTTTATTTTGTTTTGTTATCAGAGGATTATGGGAAGTGACATGCAAGAGAACTCAACCACTAAACAACACCGCTGTGCCTTAAGAGAGTGGTCCATATTTTAGTGGTAGATACACTGTCCTAGTGACAAAGTGTGTAGATAATGTTATGATATGGGAAGTAGTTTCTTCCACTCCTGCAGTTGATTCAGGGTGGTTTGTTAGTTCCTATTTGAACCATAGGTTGACTTAATGTCCATTGGTGAATTCAGATTTACCAAGGTAACTACTGTGACTTGGATTCATCTGCTCACATGTATCTAACCCTTCATTGGAATTCATATCCGTGCTTCCATTGTAACCTGCCATTCTTTAAGCTGTACACACTTACTTCTTCATCTATGACTCCTGGATACACTTGAATTATTACTGAAGAATAAGAGATATTAATACTAATTGTTTTATTGTACGGTATTACAGTAGGTCATATAGTGTGCATCACTTTAACCTCAAATCCATCACATGAACCTCAAAATTCAAAGTACTATATTGTCGTGAGTTTTTTTTTGAGGATTAACCCACGAGGGCACAAGTCAATGACCCACAACAGGGCCTGGGGGCGAAATTATAATAATAATAAAAATTTATAAATAAAAAAAAAATATATTAAATAAAAATATAATATAATACAGTAGTAAGAAGAATAAGAATAAAAAAGGCCCATAAAAAAACAAAATTAAAAAAGATTAATACCTAGTGAGAAATGATATACTGTATGTATGTTGTGTTGTCAAGGTAAGAAAAACAATTGAAACCCTGCAATTGTGTGTAAATGAAGCAGAAAGTCAGATCAGCAACCTGGGACTTGGTCACAATTTTTGTGGTGCCTGTTTAATAGCTGCCTACTACCTACTAGGTTGCCATGCCTGTTTAGTAAGTTTGGAGAGGAAGTTATTCTTTGTATCTTCGTGATTTTCTGATGATTGTTAGTACTGTGCATGGGTTTGACCTTTATCCCCACAGCTGTGGTCTTATGTTCTATTTCCAGTTCACTTTGTCTTCCAGTTTTTATTGGAAGTTAAATTGTATACACTCAGCTAATGTCAGATGATTTTATTCAGCAGGGAAGGGACCCCGTTTACAAGTGGTTAGTAGACTATCTCCCCTAACTCTTTCACTACAGGAACGCCACTCTTAATATTTTATTTGGTGAACACCAGACGATTTTATTCAGCACGGAGGGGACCCCGAACACACGTTGTTAGATGCTTCCTGTACTAAATTTTGGAAAACTTGAATTGAGATAAAATGGTTGACATGCAGTTCTAGGGTTTAGAATTTATATTGTGTATACAATACAATATTTATTATGTTGCAAGAATATGTAGATTTGCTTAATGGCCTGGTTGGTAGTTAGCTGGTGGGCTGGTGATTTGCACACAGTACCACCAGGTGCTGTGTCATCACTCCATAGTATGTAACTCAGCTTTGTTTTACCAGATGCAGGGTCCAGCATAAGGTAAGTTGGATCTGTATGTAGTCGTCTGTTTCTCGGGGTTATCTAGAAACTGGTTGATTAATGGTGGCAACTTTGCTGTTTCAATCCCTCCTGATAAGTCTGAGCTACCCCACTATCAAAATGTATACAGTAAAACCTCCATAATTTGGAATACAGTAATAGAGGCTCTACCCTGTCCAAGATAAGGCAATTTACAAGTTATGATCAATTATGTATGGCGCCACCAACGAAGTCAATAGACGATTTATTGTATATAGTTATATTTTTTCAATTGTTATTGTATAGTGTTAGTGTTTAACAGTTGTAATTTAGTTCATCCAATAAAGTAAATTAGATGAGGTTTCCATTTTTTTATTCATTGTTTTGTACAGTATACAGTATTAGTGTTTTAACAACATTAATGTAATGTAGTTCAGCAATTAGTGCAGGTTAGGTGAGGTAATAATTTCCCTTCCTTGTAATTCTCAATCACAGTCTTTAATGTTTTCTGAAATACAAAAAAGCTACATTATTTGGTATCTCAGTATTTTGAGAGGATTGTAGAGTGACAAATGAATATTTCAAAATACAGTTGCCATGATTTTCAAATGAAGTAAAGGAACTTCCGTTAAGCATCGCGTTTTTTTTTTTTTTTTTTTTTTTTTTTAACAACCTGGTGCTTATGTTGTATAATGTACAGGGTAGTCTTTTAGAATATTATATTGGCATTGTGATATTTTTTTTTATCTTCTCCCTTATCATAAATATGCTAAGCAGACAAGTCTGTGACATGGCAGCTGACACTGCCACCTCACCAATTAACACTGTTTTGCAATTTATGTGAGAAATACCTCAATATATGATTTTTTAGTACATGTACCAGTAATGGGAAATACCAGTAACTACTGTATTACTCTTACCAATATAACACAAAACATCAATGCTCCATATACAGGTGCTTAGTGGACTGGCAAGTGTTTATTAACAAATTAACTGATCACAATAAGCTATCATAGATGCAGCTATGATCAAGTACAGTAATATCCCTGATAGCCGGAACAATTGGTGGAGAATGTTTTGATGCTCAAGATATTTCTGGGTATTGAGACGAAGCCTCATCCCGAGAAAAAATTGCACATTTGAATTTTCCCAAGCATTGGTTTAAGTTTCCAAGTCTAAATTATGCACCTGACAAGGAGTAACATTGTTAAGGATAAGCAGCTATGCATCTTCTACTAGCCTAGAGGCTTAACTGCAGTCGGACAGCCACGAAGCTGTATGCATTTGTGCAAACACCACTGTACAGGTGTAGTATACAGCAGTGATGGAATACTGTGTTTGTATTCGAATTCATTCGAATATAGCATTTCAGGATATTCGTATTCAAATACATTACTAATAGAAATCCAAATACTGTACAGGTATTTGCACACCTGTTTGAATCCTTGGGCAAAATATTCATATTCGAAGGATAATCTGACGAATAATAATTGTTTTATTGATAGAAATAACCATACAGAGAGAGGGGAAGTTTTTTGGATGTACAATCGGCTTATTGAATCTGTGACCCAAGTCACCCGAGAAGCTATATATCATGCAATGAAATTAAATATTTAAACTGACTGTTAGTAAATAGCATGCAACCCTCATCAGCCTCTGTGGTGAGTAGGCTACTGGTGACCCGTTAGTTTCGTGTGAGATGTATGCCCATATGATGCCAAATTTTAGCTTAAAATTATTGTTTGAACAATCATATTTGATTCCTATTTGAAATTGGATTACTGTACCGGTGTATATATATATATATATATATATATATATATATATATATATATATATATATATATATATATATATATATATATATATATATATATATATATATATATATATATATATATATATATATATATCTTGATATCACACGAAAATGGAAACAATATAGCTTTATCAAGATATATCCATATGGATTTATATATATATATATATATATATATATATATATATATATATATATATATATATATATATATATATATATATATATATATATATATATATATATATATATATATATTCATTATTATAAGCAATTGAAAAAACAAAACAATTATATTGTGTGCCAAACATGTACAGTACTGTATTATGTATGTACACTTCTTAATGATTTTTTAATTGCTAAATGGTGGCAACAATGCCTGCCTGCAGCCTGTCTAGAAGTGTGGAATAGGTTTAGTATAATAACTTATGATATGTTGTTTTTATTATAATTACTATGATAGTATGAATAAATATATCTACACAGGACAGTTTTGACATATTGAACACCAATCATCAAATCATCTACCACTTATTACTATACTTTAGAGATAAAAAGTCATTATTTTAAACAATAGTATTCATGAATGCATTCATTAATACTTTCATAAAGTATTCGTATCCAGAGTGTCACTGTTAC